AGAATAACCTCCCTGTGAGGATACTGATCACCACTACTCAAAGGGTTGCCAAAAGGGAATTGCTGACAACATCTTTGCAAAGTGTAAATGGGACCCCTGTGGGGACTGGAAAAATGAGGCGGCGAAAGGGGGAGACTCGCTGACGACCAGCCAGCTCTGCTGTGGGGGAGGGGAGGGGCACTCTTTCTCCCGGCATCCACAGCGTGGTTTTAGGACTTCATGCCTTGTGTGTTTTCTCTCTCACGGGAGATGTAAAGAAGGGATGTATTTTTCTGTTGAAGAAGTACCCTTTTCCCCCGGAGGGATCCTCCTCCAGCCCGAGGCCTTCCTCTGTGGCAGCTGCCTGAGAAACGGGATGCTGGCGGAGAGCAGAAACTCACGTGGCCCAGTGTGGCTGTGTGACAAGGGTGGGGGGCCAGGCTGGCGTCTGTGAGCCTCATCCTGTGCCAGGCTCTGAGCTATTTTACTTGTTATTTCATTTAACCCACAAACATCACTTTAAGAGTGGTGGGATTTTGGAACTTGTTTATAATTTTCTTCTTGCTTGAATTTTTAAAATAGTAAGTATGTCTCATTAAAAAGCAACAGTCAACCGACAGATGTGGCTCAGTGGTTGAGCGTCGACCCATGCACCAACAGGTCGCCAGTTCGATTCCCAGTCAGAGCACATGCCCGGGTTGTGGGCCAAATCCCCAGTGGGGGCATGCAGGAGGCGGCCAATTGATGTTCTCTCTCATAGATGTTGCTCTCTCTCTCTCTCTAAAATCAATAAAGAAAAAAATTAAAAACAAAAATGAAAAGCAATAGTCATTAATCTAAGAGATTATGAAGATCTAGGTGTTGCTATTTCCATGTTCACATAAGAAAACCAAGGCTCAGAGATGTTAGAGTACTTGCTTAGGTCACACAGCCAGTAGATACTAGAATCGGAAGTTGAACCCAGCTCTGACTGACTCCAGGTCTGACTTTCCATAATACTCACCCTGCCACCAGTGTAAGGAGATGGAGACCAGCACACAGTTTTTAAAAATCTTCCCATTCCTGCCTACCTGATACTTCCCTGCATACCCCACCAGAAGGAGTAGGATTCAGGTTTTCTCTCATCTCTATATTCTTGCTACTCAAAGAGATAGCATCAGCATCACCTGCAGCTTGTTAGAAATGCAAGATGTCAGGCTCTAGCCCAGACCTACTGAATTAGAACCTGATTTTAACAAGATCTCTGGTGATATGATATGCCCACTAAAATTTGAGAAGCCCTGCTCTGCATCAAACCTTCCCTTTCTCTTCTCAGTTAAGTCTTAATAGCAGGTGAGGTGATGGAGAGAAAGGTCAGCCTCAGTCTTAGGTAATCTCATTAGGAGATTACTCACCCTGCTTGCTAGGTTTCGCCAACTTTTATTTATTTATTTATTTATTTATTTATTTATTTATTTATTTATTTATTTATTGACAGAGTGGGAGGGAGAGAGAGAGAGGGAAACATCAATGTGAGGGAAACATATCTACTGGTTGTCTCCCACACGACCCTGACCAGGGCTGGGGAGCAAACCGCAACCGAGGTACATGCCCTAGCCTGGAATTGAACCCACGACTCTTTGGTCCTTGGGCCGATACTCTTACCACTGAGCCAAACCAGCCAGGGCGGTTTCACTGACTTTTAGAACTTGACTCTAGGCCCCAGAAAAATTGTGGAATGGAATCTAAAACAGGTGTGTGAGCCTGTAGAAAATAGTTGAGTAGTTAACACTTGGAACCCACTATGAGTTCACCATGAGAAAAAGAATAATTCCAAATTCATCACATTTCTTTTTTCTTTTAAATTTTATTGATTTGAGAGATAGAAGGAGAGAGAGAGAGAGGAGGAAAGAAAGAGAAAGAGGGAAAGAAAGATTTACCGTTTCATTTATTTATGCATTCATTGGTTGATTCTTGTATGTGCCCTAATTGGGGATCGAACCCACAACCTTGGAATATTACTTTTGAGTATCAGGACAATACTCTAACCAATTGAGCTATCCAGCCAGGGCACATTTTCTTTTTCTGAAAAGTAACTAAAAGTTTATTATAGCAAAGTGATTGAAAGACTCCCATGAGCTAATGTGAAGGTGAGACATTACTGAACTGATGGTTGAATTAATTCAAGGCCTGGTAAGTGGTTATATACATGACTGTGAAGGACTGGTCCATCACCTGTCTGGGTGAAGTTTATATTGCATCACTTCAGGGCCCTGTCTGCAGCCTTCCCCTGGCCAAAGTGGTTGTTAGTGGCTTTGAAGACATGAGAGGCATTCCACTGAATTTCTTATGGACATAACTGTACTTCCTGGCAGATGAGTATTCTCTAATAAAGGCCTGTGAGAAGTGCTTTAAGTCAGTTCATGGGAGTCTGGAGGCAAGTGCCAGAGCAGGTGTCTTCTCTCCCTTTGTGCCAGACATTTGCCCTAATGAGACTCATACATAGGCAGGTTCAGCCAAAGAGAGGGCGGTGCCAGAGGTCCATCCCCTGTGCAGGCAATAGGGGGCATTGTCTGTACAGAATTTAAAAACAATAACAAAACTAGTAAAAATCAATTTTTTAAAAAATCCTCACCAAGGATAGTTTTCCATTGATTTTCAGATATAGTGGGAGGGAGGGAAAAAGGGGAGGGAGGGGAGAGAGAGAGAGAGAGAGAGAGAGAGAGAGAGAGCAAATAATGATGTGAAAGAGACACATTGATCGGTTGCCTCCTGCACACCCCTGACCAGGGCCAGGGATCGAACCACAATGGAGGTACGTGCCCTTGAACGAAATAGAACCTGAAACTCTTTGGTCCACAGGCTGACGCTCTAACCTCTGAGGCAAAACAGCCAGGGCAAAAGGCAATCTTTTTTATTATCACTGTGCGCCAGCAATTCTAAACAATGTCAGGGATAAAACACTTTTCCTTGAAAAACAAATGTATATTGATCTAAAAAAAAAAGATTGCTGTTGAGTCAACTTCAAATTAGCACATTTTAAAATTACTCATCCCTGAGTACACATTGTATTCTGCCTGGAAGTTGATCTGGAGGACGCTCAGTTGGAGTGCCAGCCCCTAACTCACGTGCACTTGGCAGCAGGTGTTTGCTGTCACGTATGTTTTAAGGTTCAGAGCTGTTCGAGCTTATGTTGGTCACAGGAACGTCTCCAGTCCCTGAGACACCACATCTCCCTGCAGTTTAAGTGGCTTAGAAATAAGCAGTGACTGTCCAAGATAAAGAAACAAAACTTCTGTTATTCTAGGTGACCACTTGGAGTTGTTACTAGCATTCAAAAAATATGTTTTGATTGATTTTTAGAGAGAGAGGAAGGGAAAGGGAAAGAGAAACATTGATCAATTGCCTCCTGCATGCCCCCTACTGGGGATCTAGGGGTCCAGCTGGAAACCTAGGCATGTGCCCTGACCAGGAATCCGACCGACGACCTCTTGGTGCATGGGAAGATGCTCAACCAACTGAGCCACACCGGCCAGGGCTTATCAGCATTTAAAATTTAAAACAATGCAACAATGTGAGAACTGTGAAGTGTAATATATATGTTTTGTAGGTACAAATTTCACTTTACACATGAAATATGCATGTGAATATGAATATATATATGAATATGAATAAAATATGAAAACATTAGACTAGAATATTCTAAAAATCATTATGGATATAAAATAGAGCAGCCCCAGTGCTTTTGAGATCCCTGTTTGGACTGTTACGCCAGCCTGAGTTTCCACACCCACTTGGCCCCAGAGAGCTCAACACTTCCCTGCCTATCACCAAACTTCTCATCGTTTCTCTGCTTCAGTGGCTAGCATTTCTCTCCCACACTGCAAGAGCATGCAGCTGGGCCCTGAGATGTTGTGTATCACACCAGATTTCACTCATTCTGGGTGTTAGGTTATGTCTTGAAATAGGTTTCCTTCATGCCAACTTATGACCTTGTCTGTTCGAATCATGGCTCTAACACGGGAGACATGGGACTCCAGTGGGAACACTGGGGAGCCAGAAGCAGGGCATAAGGAGTCTCATCTTCCTACATCTCTCTCCCTACCCAGCGAATGGGCATGCGTCGTTCTTCTGCCTCACTCCCACTCTCTCTGAGCTAGGATACTGCATCAGATAACGTCACTGCCATCAGTAATTTGGCATTCTTTTTATTTTACGTTATTCCTTTTAAAATATGTTTTTATTGATTTTTTTAGAGAGAGAGAGATAGAAACATCAGTGAGAGAGATACATCCATCAGCTGCCTCCTGCACGTTCTTTACTGGGGATCGAGCCCCAAACCCGGGCATGTGCCCTGACCGGGAATCGAACTGGGACCTCTCAGTCTATGGCATGATACTCAATCCACTGAGCCACACCGGCTGGGTATAACCTTGTAATTCTTAATACTACAAAACCCAGAACTATGACATATGTCATAATGTGTAGACCTCATTTTGTGTAAAGTCTATCCTGTTTCTTGTCGCATCATATTGTAGTTGTGATTTTTTTAGGACACATTACACAGAATGCCCCTCCCATGCCATGGTGCCAATAACCTGTGAATTTTGGCAATGGGACCGTGAGGATTTCCACTCACTCCCTTGGCCCAGAAGACTTCCCAGTTCTTCAGTGTCCTCCTCCGGTGTGTTCCAGGAGCACCTCGTGCCTTCCCAGCATAGTGCGCCCCACACTGCATGGTGATTGCCAGGTCAACGGTCCTCCGGCAGCTTGCGGTAGAGCCTATCGGTCATAAACCTATACTTGCCGAATTAAATTGAAAGGCTTATATGCAGAGCTCAATAATCTTCCCCTTTGGTTCACTTTAAAATATTGGCTAAAAGAATAGTTACAGCTCAAAGGGACCTTTGGAAGCCCAAGCCTCTCACTTTGAAAAGTGGGAGTCTGAAGCTTAGAAAGACAATAGCCCATCACCCACCCCCCAGTCTTTCAAAGGCCAGTGTGGTCCGGAATCGAGTCACGTTCTCTCTCTCCATTTCCAGCCTCATTAACGTTGTGTGCCACACCTGCTTCAAGCGGCAGGAGAAGCTCCATCACTGTGGGCAGTGCAAGTTCGCTCGTTACTGTGACCGCACGTGCCAGAAGGACGCTTGGCTGAACCACAAGAAGGAGTGTTTGGCCATCAAGAGATACGGGAAGGTACCCAATGAAAACATCAGGTCAGAGCTGGGCCCCTGGGGTAATGTTTGGGATTTCCAAGTGTTAGGTGGGGGTGGTGGCAGCGACAGTATTGCCAGGTCCCAGGAAGCTGGGCTAAGTGCCAGTCAGGACAGACCCTCCAGGAGACTGAGTGTGGTCACGTCTATGAACTCCCTTTAGGTCCGCGAGCCTGTCTAAGAGGGAGAGCTGGTGAGCGGCTCCGAAATGTAGACACTGGCTAGAGCTGGCTGCATGGCTCCCTAATATTTAATTAAAAAAATTCATCTGCCAACGTTCAAAAACTGAATAATTTCATGTTAAAATAAAATTAGGTTTTCTGGCCTCTCTTGAAAAAAAAAAATCTGAAAATTTGACTAAATGGGCTACAGTTCAATAGCACCTGCCCCCTTTACAAAATGCTGAGCCTTTTTTTTTTTTCTTTATTTTTTGGTTTTTGTTAATCCTCACCTGAGGATATTTTTTCCATTGATTTATAGAGAGAGTGGAAGGGAGGGAGGGAGGAAGAGAGAGAGAGAGGGAGATAAACATTGATGTGAGAGAGACACATTGATCATTTGCCTCCCACACATGCTACAACCAGGCCAATCAGGGCTGAAGAGTGAATGTGCAACCCAGTGGTGCCCTTGACTGGGAATCAAAATTGAACCCATAACCCTTCAGTGCGTGGGCCTATCCTCTAACCAGTGAGCAACACTGGCCAGGGCCAAAATGCTGAGCTTTCCAAGTAGCCACAGCCCACGGGTCCCGGTGGTCGGACGCGCAGCCCTCTGCACCCACTCCACCCGAAAAGCACTGGCATTTGCAGCAGTTAATGGCCTCCCCCGGCGGCCATCACCAGAAACCTCAGGGCGAACACCTGGGGAGCCCCAGTTCAAGAGCTCCCCAGTCCCGGAGCTTCACCAGGGCAGGGCCTGATGCTAGGCGGCAGATAGGTGCTTGAAGCCAGCTGTGGAGAGCAGAGGAGATGGGGGAGGTGGTTGGGATCACCTTCGGATGTGAAGTTCAAGTCCAGACTGGAATCAACATGTCCAGTAATTTATAGAAAATTGCCAAACCAAGTGGCTCAGTCAGCCTCCCCACCCCGTCAGTCCCATCTGTGGAAATCCTACTTCTTTGTCTTTTATAATTTCATATGCAGTTGTGTGCATGTACGCATGTGTGTATATATGCATTTATTTATTTTTAATTTCAGCTTTATTGAGGTTTAATTGACAGAAATTGTAAGATAGTTAAAGTGTGCATTGTGGTGATTTGATACACATGGACATAGTGAAAGGATCCCTCGTCTAGTTAACACACCATCACCTCATATGCTTGTCTTCTGTGTGTGCGAGAATATTTAAGTTCTCTCTTAGCAAAGTTCAATTATACAATACAGTGTTATCAACATAGTCACCAGAGCATGTTTATCTTGTAACTAAAATTTGCACCCTTTTCAAAATAGAATTTATTGGGGTGACATGGTTAATGAAAGTATACAGGTTTCAGGTATACAGTTCACAATATATCATCTGTATATTGTGTTGTGTTTATCACTCCAGTTGGTGCCCTATTACCAACTTCTCCTTATTTTCCCCAACCTGCAGGTCTGTGGCAAGCACTTTTCTGTTCTCAGATTCTATAAGTTTGACTAGATTTATTTTTTTTAAGATTCCACATATAAGTGACACTATGTAGTATTTGTCTTTCTCTGTCTGGCTTGTTTCACTTAACGCAATGCCCTCAAGAGCCATCCTTGTTGTCCCAGATTCCAGGATTTCCCTCTTCCTCGTGATGGAACATATACAATCTCACACCTTCTTTTTTCATGCATCTGTTGAGGCACTCGGGTTGTTTCTATGTCTTGGCTATAGTGACGAGTGCTGCAGCAAGCATGGGGGTGCAGGTATCTCTGATATCTTACCTAGTCTTTCAGGCCCAAAGCTAGTATCCCTCCTACGATGATGACTTCACTCCCTCCAGCTGCACAGTCCCAGGTGGTAATTCCTTCTGATACCGGGTTGAAATTTGTCACCCATTAGTCTCTAGTCTCTGGGCTTTGTGACATTCTTCCTAATATTTGGAGGTAGCAGACACCCCAGCTCAAGTCTTATTTTTCCCTGCTCTGTCCTGGGATCCATGTGGGGACATGTATTAGGCATGTGCCAGGTGCAGTCAGTGAATGACAGAGTTGCCAAAGCGTCCCTTGGTTACAAGCTTCATCTTGTGGGCAGGGCTGCTTAATAGTTAACAAGGGGGCCCTCTTTGCCCTCAGGATCAAGTACACCCCTCTGTCTCACACTCAGAGCTTTGTGGTCCCTGAACCCTCTGCTCCAGCCAGGCCAGAGCCCTCCCTCCTTCCTGCTTCAGCCATGCTCGTGGCTGCATCCAGGCCTTTGCTTATGTGTTTCCCCGCCTAGGTTGTCTTCTTCACCTTCTCTTTACCTAATCATTAAGAATATAAATAAGTTCACACGCGATGTGGACATCCATTACCTCCCTTTGTCTTCCAAAAACCTCTGGCGGTTAGCATATATAATATATAGAGAGAATATATATTATCCTCATTTTACTGGTCATTTGATAGATTCAGAGAGGTCAAATGACTTTCCCAGGGTCACACAGTAAGAAGTGAAAATAGACTTGAACCCAGATCATTAGACTCCATTTCCAGGGCTCATCTCAGTTAGCCATACTACCAGGAGAGACCCAGCTGCCGTACCTCATGGTCTCCTAGACCCCACCTGACCTGGCTCTATGCACCTCTCCACCGTTATTTGCTTTCTACTCCTCACTGCCTGTGCTCCAGCCTCCTTGGTCTTCTTGCTGTTTCTCCTTCATGCCAAGCTCGTTCCTTCTTCGGAGACTTTGTACTCACTCTTTCCCCATCCGCACAGAGGTGGCTCCTTCTGTCACTTCACTTTCAGCTTGAGTGTGCCTCCCCCATGCCGCCTCCCCTGATCCCCTTGCTTCCTCCTCCACCTCCTGCCTCTTTCTATCATGTTACTCTACTCTGTTTACTGCATAGCATTTAATGCTACTTTAAATGATCTTTTAAGCTTTTGTCTCCCCCACTATAAGAAACTCCAAGATAGAAGAAATTCTGTCTAGTTCAAAACTGTGTCTTGGGCCTGACACTGCGCCCGGCATGCATTAGGCACAGTAAGTGTTTGCTGAATGAATGAATACAGTGTGGGCTCCCTAACCCTGCCCTTCTCCACAGGCTGGCTGCACGCATCATGTGGCGGGTGGAGAGAGAGGGCACTGGGCTCACAGAGGGTTGCCTGGTCTCCGTGGACGACCTGCAGAACCACGTGGAGAACTTCGGGGAGGAGGAGCAGAAGCAGCTGCGGCTGGACGTGGACACTTTCTTGCAGTACTGGCTGCCCCAGAGCCAGCAGTTCAGCATGCAGTACATCTCGCACATCTTTGGCGTGGTATGATTTCTCACAGTGGGGGCGGGAGGGTGGCGGGAGTGACAACGGGTTGTCCAATGAGGAAGTATTTAGGTGCTGCCAGTCCAGAATGGGGAGCAGGGGCCAAGAAAAGAACTGGAGGGAGACAGAGCCCTAAATGAACAACTGTCATCCTGTCCTCTGTCTTTCTGGTCTTGCTTAATATGAGGTCATTCTTGCCCTATCTGAAGTTGGCATTCCAAAACAAACGTTCCTTTATCTCTGAGTGGTAGATTTAGATGGTATTTTGCCTTCTTGTTTATCTGCATTTCCTGTACTTTGTCCTTTACGCATTGGAAATAAAGACCCAATTACCATTCCTTCTTGCCTGTTAGTCACTTTGTAAATAAGGTCCTTCCTTTTCCCAGGTCTGATAGGCAGGATAATGCGAAACCTGGAGTAATGGGCGTGGAAGCCAGAGAGAGGAGAGTAAGGGCCTTCTGGAGGGTGCTGCCTTGGAGCAATGAAGCCAGGCCTCTTGCAGGCAGGAGAGTCCAGGAGGTGGGGGAGGGGTCCTGAGGCTCCGCAGGCCCTGGGCTGTGGGGTAAAGGTCTTCCATCTGGCAGGCCTAGCACCTTCCGTGGAGTTGGTGAATGGGTTAAAGAGGGAGGTTATTGTAACAACAGCATGATTATAACCAACATCTCTCTAGTCTTTACCATGTGCTGGTGCTTCTGTAATAGAGTTCTTCAGAGAAAAAGGAATATCTGTCTATCTATCTATCTATCTATCTATCTATTCATCCATCCATCATCTATATCATCTATCTACCTATCGAGAGAGAAGGAGATTTATTTTAATGAATTAGCTCTTGAGATCTGCCCACAAGCCTGCCGGCAGGACACCTGAAAATAGATTGTGATTAGGGTCCAAAGGCTGACTGCTGGCAGAGTTCCTTCTTGCTCAGGGGAAGTCAGTCTTTGTTGTATTAAGTTCATTAACAGATTGCATGAGGCCACCTACATTGTGCAGGTGAATTTGCTTTACTCAAAACCTACCAAAAAACACCTTCATGGAAACATACAGAATAATATTCGACCAAATATGTGGGCACTGCAGCCCAGTCAAGTTGACACATAAAATTAACCATCACGGCTTCCCATGTGTTATTTTATGCAATCTTTACAACACAAGGTGAAGTTTGTGCTTTTAACATTCCTACTTTATAAATAGAAAGCCTAGGCCCAGAGAGGTCACATGACTTCCAAAGGCCGCACAGTGAGCTGGTGTCCGTGGAAGGGCTAGAAGCAGTCGGCCTGGTGCCAGAGTTAGGCTCCACAGGCTTGGGGTGAATGTGTGTCATGGACCATCCTGGGAATCCCTCAGGAGGCTTGGGGACTAGAGCCACAGGATGGCATAATCACCAAAGTGTAGAGCTGAAAGGACCATAGAGATCATCTAGTCCAACTTATTCAACCTACAGATGGAGAAAGTAGGACTCAGGGAAGAAAGAAATTTGATGGAGGTAACTCAGCTTATTAGTGACACTAACTGGCTTAACTTCATGTACCTGATGAATGACTGATGAGACTGAATATCTATAACAAATAGCTACGTGCCACACATATCGGTATACATATATAAATGTATATTACATTAGGTGTAGTATGTATGTATATATATTATTCATATATAAAGCAGTTGTTAATGTAGTCTAAGTTATATTTATTCTTATGCATGTTTTGTACCTTGATAGCGGATAGTTGGTATTTGTTTCTATAAAGACCCACTTAGTTTTAAGGAAAAGGAAATAAGTCAAGTGCTGTGTAAGGAATTACCAACTTGATTTGCCTTGGATTCAGAGGTAAATGTTGCACTCATCAGAGTTTAAAATTGTGAGCAGGGAGTATAAATATCCAGCACACACAAATAGTAAAACAGAGATGTCACTTTTGTTTATGAGCAGCTATAGGAGTTGAGGGTGGGTTGTCAAAGAAAGCAGAAAGCCGGACACACACACACACACACACACACACACACACGGTGAGGCAGAGTGGTGCATGGAGAGAAAAACCAAATCATTGCTGGGGATGAGTCATGTGAGATCCAGGTACAGGAAAGGGAGAGACTTTCAGAAACAACATTTCCATCTTTGGCCTTTTCAGAATATAGCTACCAAAAACTTCCAAGGTGGTGCATTTTAGCGAATTTGGGACTCTCCCATGGTACTAATATTGAGCGTCATTTGGAATCACACCTTGAACAGGAGACTATTTTGCTTCCAGGATGAGACCCAGTTTTCTATTTTTTTAAAAAAACTTTCAATGGCAAGGATGATGTTCCATCCCTAATCCATGTCTCTTAGCTCATTCTTTTATCTTTTCCTCTGGGTAGATTAACTGCAATGGTTTCACGCTCAGTGATCAGAGAGGCCTGCAGGCAGTGGGCGTGGGCATCTTCCCCAACCTGGGCCTGGTGAACCATGACTGTTGGCCCAACTGCACCGTCATCTTTAACAACGGCAAGTGAGTATGCCTTTCACTGGGGGCGGTGTGATGGGGATGGGGAGACCTTACGGTGTTTTTGTCCACTTGACTTAAGCCAAAGGTAAACTGTTGAACTTGAACTTGCATGGATGTCAAATGGGAAGAAAATAGAAATTTCATTCTAGAATATTTTTGGCTTGGAGAAAGGTAATGGGCAGTATAGTAAAGAATTCACATGGGTCCTTTCTGAGTCTTCATATGTTTCTTGAGGTTGCCTAGATGTGTCAGATAAACCTCTAACTACTATTTTAAAACTTGACGCCTTAAATTACCCATCTCGAGGTCATTACAAAACATTATCACCCGAGAAGGCGCTTGGCAGAAGCACATAGTAGTCAAGGTCCCAGCAGAAATCAGAAGGCACGCTCAGAGTTTGCCTGAAGAGAATTTAATAAAAGGACAATTTACAGAAGTGTGGGTAGCATTTAAGCAACTAATAAAGAATGGTGAGGTCTCCAGGGTCTAGCAACAGCATGAGACCATTGTTCCCTCTAGATCTGGAAGGGCAAATGGAAGAAGTCCTGGTTCTGTGGTTGGTTAGAACCACGGCCATGGGGAGGCCCTTCCGCCCCCGCCCCCGCAGCATGGCTTGCACTGCTGGAACCACGGTGAGGCAGACAGGGAGCCCGGAGACTGAGCACCCCAGCCTCTCTCCTCCCATCTTCTGATTTCCTCCCATTGGCCAACCCCAACCAGAAGCGAGAGTGCAAAGGAGGGTGATGAAGTCCTCAGAGGTCAGTTAGCGACCCCGCCACCGAAGGCACAGAGGGGGCAGAAGGGTAAAGAGTGGAATTTGGGGTGGGGCACAAATGGAGAAGAGTCAGCGAAGCGGATGAGCCCCAGTTGTCCATGGCTCAGGCTAGGGGGTCTGAGGATTGAGGCCTGAGCAATATTACTTCTGCTCTTAGAGACAAACTCTTATGACATTGTAAGTGGACTCTGAGCTGTCAACAGGGAGCAGGTTTCCCCAAAAAACTTCCTGGAAAACAAAGACAATGGTTTTACCTACTACCTTAGCCAAGAGTCAAGACTAAGCCCCTATAAAGTGGGACTCTGGTTCCCCTTTTCCTTCCTGTTTCTGGAAGGAAGGGCCCACATGACACCTGGCTCTTAAGCAACCGAGAAAGTCACTCAAGACAGGGCAGTTTGTTGTGGATCCAGATGATACTGTTTCCCTTCCCACACCTCTTGGGGTCACTGGCCTAGACTTCATGGAATCCTCCCCAGAGGGGCTGTGGTCCAGGGTTGGCAGGGAGGATCAAATTCAGTCATATCCAGAGCTGGTCTTTCTGGAATCCCCTCCACTGAGCAATGGTGACTCAGGCTCTTGTCACTACATGCAACTGCCACAGGAACCTGGGAACCCTCTTTTCAGGTCATCTCCAGTGTCCACTCTGGCTCCTATGCATCCACTTCTTTTGAGCAGCCATGTTTTGCCCAGGCTTCTGGGCTGCTGTGCAAGAGAAGATGACTTTTCAGTCACTGTCTAGCTGCCTGCCGTCGTGGAAATTACACTGGCCATGAGGTTCGGAGCTGAATTCTAACCCCAACGATTTTTACCTACTACCTGTGCGACCTAACCCGTCTCCATGAGAGAGACATCAAAAGAGGCAACACTTGTTTGTCCAAGATGCTTGCTAGTGGGATAATAATAGCTTTCCATACCTTTTTTAGCACTCTATTTTTAAATGCATTATCTCACGAGTCTTATTGCCGGGCTATAAGTGAAAACACTGAGACCCGGGGAAGGGAAGTCACTTGTTCAAGGCCATGTACTTTTGAACCCAGAACCTATCATTCCAAATCCAGTGAGCTTTCCACTATACCAGGCGACATCTTGTCAAGAGAGCCCGGCTATAGGGGCTGATGGATGTTGGTATGGCCAAAGCTTGGACTACATAACCTGAAATACTGTGCACCCTTGCTGGATGTGCCGGGTCAGCCAATGGTACTGATTTCCGTTTGGGTGTCTGTTTTGTCTTTCAGCCATGAGGCAGTGAAATCCATGTTTCACACCCAGATGAGGTGGGTCAGTCCTTGCAAACTTCCCTGCTCCTCTGACCCACTGGTTTGCTGGGGCCACCCCTTCCCAAGTTCCCACGGCTGCTGTCTGTCTGTAATGTCCTTCTGCGCCCCAGAGTCTCGTCTCTTTTGAATGCTGTATTCATAATGCACTTAAATGGATCATTTTGTTCTTCACCCACTCACCACCTGACATGCCTTTTTGGTACTTTGTTTTCTTTCTTCCCCCTCTTTCATGCCTTACTTCTCTCATTCCTCCGACATCAAAGCGTGACAGTCCCTTCTGGTCCCCATCATCTTGGCAAAAACCCATGTCATCCCTCTAAACCCTGCTTACCCATGAAGTGAGGACTGCTGATATTACTGACTTACTAAAGGAATCTGTGTTTGTTTATAACCCCAACTTCTCAAACAGACTGGGTTCTGAACATTGCACCCATAACTGTAATATTTTGATAAATATTTATTCATAGTGTTCTGTTTACTGCTTCTGGCCAAGTAAAAATGAGTGGTTTAGGTTAGATTTTACTTTAACATCTTTTTTTAATTTTTATTTATTATTTTATTTTTTATCCTCACCCGAGGACATTTTTCCATTTTTTTGTTCAGGTAGAGTGGGAGGGAGAGAGAGGAACAGAGAGAGAGAGAAACATCGACGTGAAAGGGACACATCGAGTGGCTGCCACCCACACAACCGACCAGGGCCGGGGACAAACTGCAACCGAGGTACACGCCCTTAGCGGGAACCGAACCTGGGTCTCTCCAGACCGCAGGCCGACGCTCTAACCGCTGAGCCAAACCGGCCAGGGTTACTTTAACATCTTTTTAAAAATATGTTTTTATGGATTTTTTAGAGAGAGAGGAAGGGAGAGAGAGAGAAAAAAGCATTGATGTGAGAGAGAAACATCGATCAGCTACCTCCTGCACATCCCCCACTGGGGATTGAACCCACAACCCGGGCACCAAACTGGAATTTCTCAGTCTATGGAACAACATTCAATCCACTGAGCTACACCAGCCGGGCTAGATTTTACTTTAGACTTTTCTTAATCACAATCAAATGGCCCCAGAGGGGTCTTTTTCTCATTCTGGGTTTGAAAGTACTTGATACGCTCTCTGGATTCAGAACCAACGCTGCATGGGAGTCGGGCTGTGGGGCTGCAGGGAGGGGTGGTGTGAGGACCCGAGCCTGTGTTGGCATGCGCTGCACGTGACCTTGAACGATTCACACCATCTCCTGGGCATTTGGTTCTACATCTGTCCAGCAAAGGTCACGATGGGAGTGTCTCTAGGGACCTTCCCAGCCTCTACGAGAAATACTTAAAATAGCCCGGCTGGTGTGGCTCAGTGGTTGAGCGTCGACCCACGCACCAAGAGGTCACCAGTTTGATTTCTGGTCGGCACATGCCCAGGTTGTGGGCCCCATCCCCAGTGGGGGGCATGCAGGAGGCAGCCAATCGATGTTCTCTCTCATCGATGATTCTATCTGTCTCTCTCCCTTCCTCTCTCTCTAAATTCAATAAAGAAAAAAACATTAAAAAATACTTAAAATAATTGCCTACTTGTGGTTCAACTGACTGAACTATAAAATTGCAGAGCATTAGAGATGGAAGGGGTGTGGAATCCAGAATGGAGTGGTAGGCACTATTCACTCCATGATCCCCAATTCCAAGTTAGGTAAATGGGTGTGTGTGTGTGTGTGTGTGTGTGTGCATTTCATATTTAAGTGCCATTAAATTCACTTGGTTTTGAAACATCTCTAATATCTTTGAAATAATTTGAGACACTCTGAGACCTTGTACAAACTGGCTTAACCATGATGGGAAGTAAAGCTACTGGAAATCTTAACTTACTGGCCATTGAATCACTGTTGAATGGGGGTACGTTACTATGGGAACTGCCTCTGTAAAAGGGGCTGCTGGGGTTAGCATGCTGGTTACCCTACCAGGCCAAAGATCCACACCCAACACTGGCTCAGAAACTGCTCACATGGAACCATTTAGGACATCAGACGTTAGTAGAGTCCTACAACCAAGGGCTTTGGTACATCTCACTCCCCACGAATTGCAGCCTCAGGAAGCAGAACAGAAACAATCAGGCGAGGCCAATATGATGTGATGAGGCACGAATGGCCCTTGAGTTCTCATCTTGACTCTGTGGCTGAAGTGTTAAGGGACCTTTGGGGAAGTTACTTCACCTCTCTGGGCATCAGTGCCCTCATCTGTGACATGAGGAGGTTAATTCCTGTGGCTCAGACATATTAGGATTCCGAACAGAGCTGTGAGTAGGCTCGCTGGGCCCTCCCCTCCCTCTTGCCTGTCATCACTTCATTAACTGCTGCTGCCAAAAACTGGGGTGGGGAAGAAAGGAAAGAAGGAACAAGAGGTGAACGGGAACTTGGATTTTGCCAAGGGCCGTATGAGTTGTTTTTATATATATTATCACATGTGTGTGGTTCGTCAGTGGACTTCACTTTGGGAAAAGGCTTTTTAACCTTCAGTGGTCACCTCTGACACCTGGACATGCGTGTCCCTGCCGTTCAGTAGCTGCTTGCTCGATTGTCACTTCAGAGTACACGGAAGGGGATGCCTTTGGCTGGGATCCCCCTGTGGTGCTGAATTCTTGTCCCACGTTTCACATGGTGTCTGAAGGCCATTCTGGGAGGTAAAAGAAATGACCATGGACCTCTCTGCTGATGCTCCAGCCTCTGCATCCTGCCACTCACTCTCTGGGTGATAGACTCCCTCTGGGTAGTGAGGCCCCAGAATGCTGGGGAGATATAGGAGCACAGCTTAGGATCCAGCTGCAGGGTCGCTGCTTCTGGCCTTGTGCATGGCTGAGAGGCCCACAGGCTGATCTCTGCTTGGTGGCTCCCCTGGATGGCAGGTCTGCAGTGGGCTGTTGTCTTCAGCACATTCTGCATCTATTACATGGAAAGGGGGTTGTCTGCAGGTCATCGGAGGGGCGGGTCTAGGCTGGAGGGGATTGAAATGCCATCTGCTTTTGCCACTACCTTCAACCAAAGAGCTCTGCCCCCCAATAAACACAAAAGTGAGCAATGCAGTGGACCAATGGAACCAGCCTTTACTTGCTGTCGAGGGTCTCCAAGACTGTAGGTGACTGAATGTGCGTGTTTCTGAGGAAGCAGTCCCCAAACTAAGCAGAAATGACTATTGAGTCTTCTCTTATTTGTCTTCACCTGTTATTATTATCTCTCCCTTCCTTTGTTAGCCATCAGTAGCTGAAGGTACAGGGATGATTGTGTGCACGGAAGCTATTATGGCTTTAAGACCAAGACCTCCAACGGGAATCTATTTGAGCGGATTTCAGAGCAGTTTGCGGAATGGAGGAGATTTGATTGTTACAATGAGTAGAGCAGAATTATCCAAAAAACCTGTCCGTTAGGTCCTACCTCCCATTTTGGGAGGGAAGGGGAGTTTTCTCAAGTGCCATAGAAGTCACTGTCTTTGAGACTCAACTCCTTGAAATTTGAAGAGCACAAACGGCACTCCGGTGGCTGTGGATTTCACTGACTCTTCTCCTTTGCCCTGCTCCAGAATTGAGCTCCGGGCCCTGGGCAAGATCTCAGAAGGAGAAGAGCTGACGGTGTCTTACATCGACTTCCTCAACGTCAGCGAAGAACGCAAGAAGCAGCTGAAGAAGCAGTACTACTTCGACTGCACGTGTGAGCACTGCCAGCAAAGGTTGAAGGACGACCTCTTCCTGGGGGCAAAAGACAACCCAAAGGTACACACAGCCCTGCCGGGGGGTGCTGGCGGCCACCTCCACAGGAGCCAGGCACGGGGGGATTCCACAGCTCACCAGTACATCCCGCTCGCTGGTTCCCGGAACACCAGCCTGTAACCCCTGGGAACGCTCAATGGGGTGGGGGACGGAGCACTGCTGACAGGTCCCAGCTGGTGTCCGGGCTCCACCACTTGCTAGGTGTTTGAGTCTGGGAACATCACTCAGTGTTCTCGCCTGTAAAATAGGAATGATGGCAACCACTACGAGGGGTGGTTCTGAGTATTACACGAGATAATGTATGTAACGGGTGTGGCATGTAGAGTAGACAGTACATTGTAGTCCTCTCCTTGCTCCTTTGCAGTTTAAATAATGCTGAGAATCTCTCATATTGAGACCAGATGGGCAAAGAGATTTGTCATCTGGTTATGACAAAGATATTCCTAGTCCCATGGAAATGGGCACTGTGGAGACCGGGCAATGTTTAGATTGGTTAATTGCCTAAGTCCCGAGTAGCTATTGCTTAATGGATGGTGAGACCTCTGAGCAGCAGGAAGGCTTCCTGAGGGGTAAGTCAGGAGCTCGGCTGAGCTGGAGAAAGCGGAGCTGCCAGGTGTTGGAGCAGCTGGTTAAAGCAGTGTGCCCTCGACCACGTCCAGAGCAGTGTGCCCTCGACCACGTCCAGAGCAGTGTGCCCTCGACCACGTCCAGAGCAGTGTGCCCTCGACCACGTCCAGAGCAGTGTGCCCTCGACCACGTCCAGAGCAGTGTGCCCTCGACCACGTCCAGAGCAGTGTGCCCTCGACCACGTCCAGAGCAGCGTGCCCTCGACCACGTCCAGAGCAGCGTGCCCTCGACCACGTCCAGAGCAGCGTGCCCTTGACCACGTCCAAAGCAGCGTGCCCTCGACCACGTCCAAAGCAGTGTGCCTTTAACCACATCCTACAGTGAGCTAAACAGGGCTGAATGGGGGCAGGTGGTGACTCCTGCTATTTGACGGCCCCCAGGGAAAGGTACATGGCACTCAGGTGGATTGGCACAGAGGTAGGGGTTGTCTCATGCCAAGGGGCCCAGAACAAAAGGCTCCTGCCGTTTTATGGATTCTGAGGTGAGGGGCTGGGGGAGAGGGCATGGGGAAAGGCTAGGAGAGGAAAAGTACTGGGACCTGAGTCAGAGTCTGCAAGTCTCCTCACCCACACCAGCCAGGCTACAATATATTTCTGTATACATATATCTTTGTGCATATGTGCAAGTATATCTACAGGATACATTCTTAGAAGTAGAACTACTTAGTCAAAGGGTTAGAAATATATATTACGAATGAAAACAAGTTAGTGTCCCCCCCAACCCCATGCAAAAAAAGTCTAGAATGGCCAGGGGATGAAAGAGTGATGGGTCAAGTGCAGGGACAGTGTTATCTGAACTTTAGCATGGACACCACTGAGGAATGAAGGGAAAGGCCCACCATCTGTACCTAAGCATCAGTTTGTAGCCGGCTGGTGTGGTTCAGTGGTTGAGTGTCAACCCGTGCACCAAGAGGTCGCTGGTTTGATTCCCGACCAGGGCACATGCCCAGGTTGTGGGCCAAATCCCCAGTGGGGGGCATGCAGGAGGCGGCCAATCGATGTTCTCTCTCATCGATGTTTCTCTCTCTCTCTCCCTCTCCCTTCCTCTGTCTCTAAAATCAATAAAGAAAAAATATATTAAAAACATATATATATATATATAGTAGCATTGTTAGGAATATAAAAATAGTGAATATAACCTAAATAACCACCAACAGGGAAATATCAAAATAAACAAAATACCCCATGTCACTAAAACTAATGAGGTAGATCTTTGTGTGCAGATACGGAATGAGCTCTATTTCCTATGGAATAGAGTGAAGGGATCAAACATTGCCATGCGTACTAGTTTCCTAGGGCTGCCATAACGAAGTGCCCATACTGGGTGGCTTGGATGAGAGAGATGTGTTGTCTCAGCTCTGGAGACCAGAAGTCTGAAGTCAAGGTGTCAGCAGACTTGGTCCGTCAGAGGGCAGGGGAGGATCTGTTCCAGGACGCTCTCCTTGGCTTGTAGATGCGTCTTCTCCCCGTGTCTCCTCATAGTGTCTTTCTCTTCACCTGGCATTCTCTTCATAAGGACATCAGTCATGTTGGATTAGGGCCAGCTTGCTCCAGTAGGACCTCCCTTATCTAATTATATCCGCAATGACCCTCTTTCCAAATAAGGTCGCATTCTGAGGTACTGAGGGTTAGGACTTTAACACAGGAAATTGTGAGGGTGGTAATCCAACCCATAAGACTGTGTGTGCTACCATTTATGAAAACTGAAAGGGACGTGTGCACTCACACACAGAGATCCGTGCACCCACGGGCGTGTACACGCGTAGTCAGTCTCTATCCAGACAGAGAGGGGAGCGAGAAGCTGTGATGAACAGATCAGTGATGCCTGGTGTGGAGAAGTTGAGAATCATCCCTCCCAGGCAGGATATAAAGCAGTTGGGACCCAAGGATCACTATGTTCTTTATAGGAACAACCCCCTCCTCATGGAATCGAAGGTTCTGCACCCCAGGGAATGTGTCTGCGTGAGGCACCAAGCACGGTACCGTAGGAAAGAATAAGCTATGTACCCACCCTCACCCTGACCTCCCAGAACCTGCAGGGTAACATGTGTCTTATCTGCAAGGCAGTCAGCCTTCCCGCCTGGGACCTGGCCCTGAGTACTTATTTCATCACTCGCTCCCCCCACTATTTATTATTATTTTTTGTTAAGAGGTCTGATCCTCTCTATTTCCTTCCAAAATTAAATGAAATAACTATATAGTCATTTCTCTAAATCTCTCGATATTTACCTGGAATATCTAATAGATAAGTAGGTAATATGTGGCCATTGGTTCTCGTCCCTTACTTGTAGATATGCTGGTACCAGCTGGTGATGATATGCCCAAATCTTCTAATCTGAATTGCAGAGTTGGCATCTCTCTCTCTTTTTAAAAAAAAAAAAAATCCTCACCCGAGGATATTTTTCCATTTATCTTCAGATAGAGTAGGAGGGAGAGAGAGAGAGAGAGAGAAACATTGTTGAGAGAGAGAGACACATTGATTGGTTGCCTCCCCCACGACCCTGACCAGGGCCAAGGACCCAACTACAACCGAGGTACATGCCCTTGACTGAAATCAAACCCGCGACTCTTTGGTCCCTGGGCCGACTCTCTGACTGCTGAGCTAAACCGGCCAGGGCGGCATCTCTATTGATGTATAAAGTTGGTTATTTCTGCTTAAACCTAACCTGAAGTCAAAGCAAAAGCTTTATATTATTGTTATATCACAATGAGGTTGTCTGTTAAAATAAATAAATAACTAAAAAATAATTCAACCAAGAAAAAGAGAGTATAACTTTTTAAAAGCAAGTGTGTCCTAAGACATAACAAAAGGCCATTATAATGTAGTAGAAAGAATACTGGACAAATAATTAAGAGTCCTGTGTTCTAATTCTGCTCGTGACCCTGAATGTCTGAGCTTGGGCAAGTCTCTTCCGTTGGGCCTCAGTTTCCTCATCTGTAAATGGTGTGTCGGACTAATTTATTAACAGTTCCTCTATCTGTGATGACATCACAGTTGCCTTTCTTTCTTTTCCTTATGATTCCTCATCCCAGCCTGATAAGCCCCCCTCAGTACACCAGCCATTATGAGTCATCCTCAAACTTTTAATTGCCATCAAAATCATTCCCAACTGATTAATATATATATGTGTAGACCTGGATTAAAAAAAAAACAAAACACCAAATATTTAGAAAATAAAACTAAAACTTATAACCTTCTCCTCAATTGTAGCTTTGGACTTTCTTTGTTTAGGCTCCTTAGATTTTTCTATTTTCCTCTCAACAGCCTTCACCCCGGTTCTCAATGGGAACGTGGCAATTTTCAAGCTTGGGGAATCAATATCCCTCTTTTCCCCTCTACCTTCTCTTCTGGCTCTTCCTCCTATGGATCCTCCCCCTCTGCTGGCTCCTTCCCCTTTCCCCATAGTTTCTTCCCTTCCTCTTTTGGCCCCTCCCCCTCTCTGCCTCTCTGTTTTCTATTTTTTGTGATGCTTTCTCTCTGGGGTGCCTTAAATCTTATCTGCACATCAGGTTTTTCTGTCTGTACTTTGAAAATTAACAACCTTTCAGCCAAGTTGCTTTGGAAACTTTGGCAGTTGCCTCCTTGAAAAACTTTGACTTCCAGAGCTGAAAGTAACACTCTTCTTTACAACATCAAATTGAGCAAGACTTCTTGTTTATTTATTTATTTTTTCCTCACCCAAGGACATTTTTGCATTTATCTTCAGATAGAGTGGGAGGGAGAGACGAAGGAAGAGAGAGAAAAGCATCAATGTGAGAAAGACACATCGAGTGGCTGCCACCTACACGACCCCAACCAGGGCCGGGGACAAACTGCAACCAACGTACGTGCCCTTAGCGGGAACCGAACCCGGGTCTCTCTGGTCTGCAGGCCGACGCTTTAACCACGGAACCAAACCGGCCAGGGCAAGCAAGACTGTTATTAACACCTAAGCACTTGGTATTTTTCAAATCTACCTGCAAGCTACTGATTACTCCAGAGGATTCACTAACAATTTTGACTTCTAAAGATGATGAAACTTACGATAGACTAGAAACAAGTGGTTATAAACTCGATCTGATATTATGGGCAACAAGCTATGGATGAAACTAAAAATGTAGGTTTGGAAGATTGGGGATATCCTGCTGCATCACCAGTCACAGAACTCTGCACAATTGGACATGACATGGACCCCCTCCTACTAATGTGCTTGGTTCAGAGGGTCTTAAGAAAGCAGACACAAACTGCAATGCCTTGTCTGAAACCAAGACATGTTTCACGTTCACAGAAGGCTAAGTAGCACTCTGAGAATGGAAGGCAGCCAGAAGCCAGAGATCTCAGTCCACTCAAAGGTCAATGCAAAGCTTAAGTCAGGAGTGAGACCTGCAAGCAGAAGTCAGAGCACTGACAGGTTACTCAGTTTTGGGGGTCGGGCCACAGGACAAGTACAAGTAGGCATGCAGAAGAATTCCAGGGAGACCCAGATACCAAAGGATATGGAATCGAGGGCAGTCAAATTTGTACGGATATTCAAGAACTGCAGAAGCCAAAGCAGATGATGTGGTTAGAAAAATAAATATAATGCCCCTTTCTTAAAAGATTCTGACCCTTGCCTTGGCTGGTTTGGTTCAGCGGTTAGAGCATCGGCCTGCGGTCCTGAGAGACCCGGGTTCGGTTCCCACTAAGGGCGCGTACCTCGGTTGCAGTTTGTCCCCGGCCCTGGTCGGTCGTGCGGGTGGCAGCCACTCGATGTGTCCCTTTCACATCGATGTTTCTCTCTCTCTCTGTTCCTCTCTCTCCCTCCCACTCTACCTGAACAAAAAAATGGGAAAATGTCCTCGGGTGGCCTCTTATAATGCAAGAGGGACACAGAGCTGGCTCCGGACAGCTGGGAGGCTGAGGGACCCTGACCTCCACCTGGGAGGAGAATGTGTGTTTATGGGGACAAATGCCCACCTTCCCATTACTGTTTGATATTTTAGTGAAGGCAACCCCATAAAATAATGTAAGCAGCAAATGTAAATGAAGCTGTTGAGCCCAATTTCTAATCGTAAAAACTGGACTAGAGAACTGGTTAAATAAATGACTCTCGCTTCATACGGTGAAAAACTCCACAGCTATGAAAAGTGGTGACATATTCATACAGATGTGGGAAAATATCCATAATCTACTGAGTGAAAAAAATCCGAATAGGAAGAATTAGCATCATTGAAGTGTTCATACTGCCTAAAGCAATCTATAGATTCAACTCAATTCTTATCAAAATACCAATGGCATATTTCACAGAACTAGAACAAATAACCCTAAAGTTTATATGGAATTACAAAAGACCCCAAATAACCACTGCCATCTTGAGGAAGAAAAACAAAGTTGAAGGCATCACACTACTTGATATCAAACTATACAACAAGCCCATAGTAATCAAAACAGCACAGTACTAGCTTAAAAACAGATATATATCAATGGAACAGAATAGAGAGCCCAGCCCTGGCCAGTTTGGCTCAGCAGTTAGAGCATCGGCCTGTGGACCAGAGAGTCCTGGGTTTGGTTCCCACTAGGGGCATGTACCTTGGTTGCAGTTTGTCCCTGGCCCCGGTTGGGGTTGTGTGGGTGGCAGCCACTCAATGTTTCTCTCTCACATGGATGTTTCTCTCTCTCTTCCTTCCTCTCTCCCTCCCGCTCTATTTGAAGATAAATGCAAAAAAATAAAATAAAATAAAATAGAGAGCCCAGAAATAAACCCACGCCTATATGGTCAATTAATATTTGACAAAGGAATCAAGAGCATACAATGGAGTAAAGACAGTCTATTTAATAAATGGTTTTGGGATAAATTGGACTAAAATGTGCAAAAAAAACAATGAAATAAAACCACCGTCTTATACCATGTACAAGAACAAATTAAAAATGGATTAAATACTTAAATGTAAGACTAGAAACCATAAAACAAAAAAACATAGGCAGTAAGCTCTCAGAAATTTATCTTAGCAATGTTTTTTCTGATATATCTCCTTGGGCAAGGGAAACAAAAGAAAAAATAAACAAATGGGACCGCATCAAACTAAAGCGTTCTTGCACAACAAAAGAAAACATCAACAAAACATAAGACAACCTATTGAATGGGAGAAGATATTCACCAATGGATGATATATGCAGTAAGGGGTTAATATAATAAATTTATAAAGAACTCATACAATTCAACACCACAAAAACAAACACGCCAATTAAAAAATGGGCAAAGGACCTAAATAGACACTTCTCCAAAGAGGACATACAGATGGCTAATAGACATAAAAAGATGCTAACTGTCACTAATCATCAGAGAAATACAAATTAAACTCACAATGAGATATCACCTCACACCTGTCAGAATTGCTAGTCTCAACAAATATTAAAAAAACAAGGAAATGTTGGCGAGAATATGGAGGAAAGGGAACACTCATGCACTCTTGGTGGGAATACAGATTGTGGCAGCCACTGTGGAAAACAATATGGAGGGTCCTCAAAATATTAAAACTAGAACAGCCGCCCTGGCCGGTTTGGCTCAATGATTAGAGCATCAGCCCAAGGACTGAAGAGTCGTGGGTGCAATTCCCGGTCAAGGGTACATGCCTAGTTTGCAGGTTCAATTCTCAGCCCTGGTCAGGGCACATTTGGGAGGCAAGCAGTCAGTGTGTCCCTCTCACATTGCTGTTTCTCTCCCTCCCTCCCTTCTATTCTCTCTCTCTAAAAAAAAAAAATGAGCCCTGGCCAGTTTGGCTCAGCGGTTAGAGCGTCGGCCTGTGGTCCAGAGAGACCCAGGTTCAGTTCCCGCTAAGGGCGCATACCTCTGCTGCAGTTTGTCCCCGGCTCTGGTTGGTTGTGCGGGTGGCAACCACTTGATGTGTCCCTTTCATGTCAATGTTTCTCTCTCTCTCTCTCTCTCTCTCTCTCTCTCTCTCTCTCTCTTCTTCTCTCTCCCTCTCACTCTATCTGAACAAAAAAATGGAAAAATGTCCTCGGGTGAAGATTAAAAAAAAAAAATCAATGGAAAAAATATGCCTTATGACCCAATAATTCCACTTCTGGGTAGATATTCAAAGAAACCAAAAACACTAATTCAAAAGGATATATGCACCCCTATATCCATTGCAGCATTATTTTCAATAGCCAAGACATGGAAGCAACCCAAGTGCCCATCAACAGTGGATAAAAAAGAACTAGTACATATACACAATGGAATATTACTCGGCCATAAAAAAGAATGAGATTTTATCATTTAAGTCATCATGGATGGACATAGAGGATATTATACTAAGTGAAATAAGTCAGAGAATGACAAATACCATATTGTTTAACTTATATGTGGAATCTAAAGAACAAAATTGAAACAGACCCATAGATACAGAGAACAGACTGACGGTTGCCAGAGGGAGAGGGTGTTTCGGGGGCTGTGTGAAGAGGTGAAGGGAGTAAGAACTACAAATTGGTAGTTACAAAGTAATCACAGGGATGAACCACAACTGAGGTACATGCCCTTGACCAGAATCGAACCTGCAACTCATGGTCCATGAGGCGACACTCTAACTGCTGAGCCAAACCGGCCAGGGCTCTAGATTTCACTGAGACAGCTGACAGTCTCTCATAATATGCTTTTGGTGAAGACAAAGAAATATGAACTGAATGCTAAGACACTTGGAAGGGTTTGGATGCCCATAGCCACGGGGGCTGTCTTTCGTGAACTCCAATGGCAGATTGCAGTACAAATGTTTCGTCCTCAGCCCTGTGCTGGCCAGTATTTAAATCAACGACTTGGGTGAAGACAAAAAAGCAAGGGCATAGCTGTAGTATATATGGTTAACTTGAAGTGCAGAGGAACAATGGAAACTATTTTGGGTGACAGAGTGAGACTCCAAAATGCCAGAGAAAATACAACAGGGGTCAATGCCAGGTTCTGCACAGGGTCCCAAAGCCCAGGCACGAGCGCGGGGTAGGGATGATCAGCTGGTCACAAGGCTCTGGGGCTTGGGCAATGGAAAGCACCGTATGAGGCAGAAGCAAGATGAGGGAGCTGGAAAAGCTCCAGGGACCTTGTGCAGCCTTTATAGGAATGAAGCATTCAGAATGAGAAAGGCATCACTTTTTTAAAAAAATAATTTTTTTCTTTATTGATTTTAGAAACAGAGGAAGGGAGAGGGAGAGAGAGAGAGAAACATCGATGAGAGAGAACATTGGTTGGCTGCCTCCTGCATGTCCCTACTGGGGATCGGGTCCACAACCTGGGCATGTGCCCTGACCAGGAATCGAACTGGGGACTTCCTGGTGCATGGGTTGACATTCAAGCACTGAGCCACACCAGTCGGGCAGGAAGGCATTACATTTGTCCTACACTGAACATCAAAGATGACAACTGTGCAAAGATGTAACTCAGTGTCCCTTCCTCTCCCAGCCCTCTCAGGATGCGGTAAAGGAGATGATACAACTCTCCAAGGATACACTAGGGAAAATTGACAAGGCTCGCTCCGAGGGCTTGTACCATGAGGTAAGAATTCATTTTTACGGGGCATAGGAGTGGGGAGGAGGGCAGAACCTTCTTCTAGTCAGGGAGGGAGACGGGGTGGGCTGAAGATGGAGCGGCTGCCAAGCAGGTTGCTTTTCTGTCCCTTTGTTGCGACCAGGACTCCTCTTGCCCTTAAGCTTTCAGAACTTCTTAGGGGTGTGTTCCCAGTGACTGTTCAACCCCCTGAAACTGGGTCTGAGAAGAACACAGGTGGCCTGACAGATGTCCCTGGGGGGTCGTGGTATCTCAAGTTGGCATCAGAAATGGGGAAATGGCGATGGCAGTGGACCGCTTGCATTTCCATAGCTAAATGCGGGTCCTGGCGACAGTTTCCAGTCTCTAACTGAGCATTCATCCCTGACTCTCAAAGCACAGGAGTTCTCAACTGGCTGTCCACTAAAGTCACTAAAAAACCCCATGACTCAGATCCTGACCCAGGACAATTTCACCACAATCTCTTGGGGTGGAGCCCAGACACCAGGACTTTTAAAGCCTGACAGTGATTTCAACACGCATCCAGAGTTGACACCACTGCCAAACACTGAGCTGCGGAGCGTGTGCACTGAACTCACCTGGGCGGGTTTCTGGAAATATAAACCCGTGTCTCGTGTCTTAAGATGTGACTTATCCAGTCTGCAACAGGATGCATTAATCCACTTTTTCCAAGCTCTTCTTTATTGATTTTTTAGAGAGAGAGGGAGGAAGAGGAGAGAGAGATAGAAACATCGATGAGAGAGAACATCCATTGGCTGTCTCCTGCATGACCCCCAACTGGAGATTTGGCCCACAACCTGGGCATGTGCCCTGACCTGGAATCAAACCGGTGACCTCTTGGTACATGGGCTGATGCTCAACCACTGAGCCACACTGGCCGGGCTTTCCAAGCTCTTTAAATGATTCTGGTGTGTAGCTGGATCTTCATTTTCGTCCTTTGTTCATTCATTCGTTGCATATTTTTGAGCCCTTACTGGGGCGATCAATACAAGGCATGTTCCTTGACTCCCAGGAGTTCTGTCAGGTGGGGGAGATGGTCACCTGAACACAGTGTAAGAGATGTGAAAGAGAAACATAGATGGGCTGCCCCCTGCACGCCCCCTACTGGAGACTGGGCCCTAAACCCCAAGCATGTCCCCTGACTGGAAATCAAACCCAGACTTCTCAGTCCATGGGACGACGCTCAATCTACTGAGCCACACTGGCCAGGCAGTCTCCACTCATTTAAAATGGGAAGAACTGTGTAGCATTTCTCCCATGAGTGTGGCAAGGGGAAAGGAGAGAACGGTGAGCAACTAACGTCTAAGGACCATCTGACTTTGCCGAGTGCACCCTAAGCCTCTGTGTACACGTGAATCAGCCAGAAAAGCCTGATTCAGGCTGATCGGGGTCAAGTTCATCTTTTTTCTCACCAGGACCAATGTGGTGCTCTCCTGATGGGTCTGCCAGCTGCCAGGAACCTCCCTGTCTGCCCATCCATCTTGCATGCTTCAAGCAGGGCCAACCTCGCTGTGCATGAGGACCACCCAGGGGCTGATACAAACTATAGACGCCAGGTCCCACCCCTAGATATTTGGTTTCAATTGGCCTGAGGGAAAGGCCCAGACACAGGTGTTTTTAAAAAGGTCTCCAGGTGAATCCGGAGCACAGCCAGGGTAGAGAATCACAGGAAAGGTGGTTAAGAGAACGCTCGAGAGCTTGGTTTGCTCCGTTGCTCACTACCTACGACCTGGGCAGAACACTTACCCTCTGTGCTTCAGTAAGATGGGAGTATTAGTAGTAACTATCTCATTGCATTGTTGTGAGAGTATGTATATACAGAGATGTATAATGATACAAAGATAGACATCTTCCTAACTCCTTGCAACCCAAAGTCCTCGTTTTGCCATTCCGTTGTAACTCGTTACCTTTTCTATCCCTACCTCTCACCCAAATAAGACCATTTTGCTATTCAAACCACAAACTGTTGCTTTCCACTTCCGTCCGCAATCTCCTCAACCTTCCAAGGAGTGTCCAGTGTCACCGTGCTGCCCCCGTATGCAAATGAAGCACGCGCTGCAGTGCGGTGGCAGTGGACCGGTGTCTCTTCTAGGTTGTGAAGTTATGCCGGGAGTGCCTGGAGAAGCAGGAGGCCGTGTTTTCTGACACCAATATCTACATGCTGAGGATGCTGAGCATCGTTTCCGAGGTCCTTTCCTACCTCCAGGCGTTTGAGGAGGCCTCGTACTACGCCAGGAAGATGGTGGATGGCTATATGTAGGTGACAATCCCGGTCTCAGATACTCTCCCAGAAACGTGTCTGTTCCAGGCAGGACAGGTAGATGGCACACGTATTGCTCCCTCTCCCTTCTGTAGCGGGGCAGCAAGCGTCAGTAATCGTACTGTGTACGGCGGAGACTTTTTGTCATGGTGTCCTTAGTGGTAAAGACCAAATAGTCAGAGTTGGTGCTGAGATGAAACCTATTTGTCATCCCTGGTCTTTCCCAAATCCTCCAGCTCATCTGCTCCTTGATGGTGACTTGCTTCTGATTTTCTGACGGCCAAGTCCAGCTTGATCTCAAGTGCTTAGAAAGGTTCCCCTCCCTAACAATCAACACAGAAAATCCTGAGAGCCTTCTTTTATTAAAATTACAAATTATAAAATAGAATGCCTTCCCTCTGTCAATGTCCTCTCGGTCCACATTGGCATGTGAATTTGTATGTCTGGCCAAGTGACTACGTTAGTACAAGAAGGTTCATTTTTGAGGGGAGGATGTTACTCATAAGTGAAATGTGGGGAAACCATATAACATGTTAAAAGGAAGCTGCCAAAGAGGGAAAAATATAATTCTGTCCCAAGAAGAACATTCAAGTCTCCCACCCCCTTTGACCTTTCTACTGCTTTCTGGGGAGAGGGCTGGGGTGCCGAGAGCTCCCGGCTTCCTGTCGTCAAGCTCAGAGTACAGTCCTGATTCCTTTCCCCGGAGGATATGGCTCAGCGGCTCCGGTCAGAGTCTCAGCTCTTGCAGCTTCACTGTGTGGGGTTTTGGTAATTCACCCCCTGTGCCTCAGCCCCCTCCCAGTGGGCTGCAGGTGCTTCACGGCCCCGGTGGGAAAGCAGATGGACTTCACTGAGAGTACTTTATATGTGGTCAAATACTCTGCAGATATGAAAAAGGTTGGGGTTATGTTATGATTATTTCATATGTCCCTACAGGAAGCTCTACCACCCCAACAATGCCCAACTAGGCATGGCCATGATGCGGGCAGGGCTGACCAACTGGCATGCTGGTAACATTGAGGTGGGGCACGGTATGATCTGCAAAGCCTATGCCATTCTCCTGGTGACACACGGCCCCACCCACCCAATTACCAAGGATTTGGAGGCAAGTAGCACCTGACACTGGGCCCCTGTCTGCTCTGCGCTCTCTGAGGATGAGAGCTGACTTCTGAACTCTGCTCTTGGAAAGTCCCTAGATTGTGCTGGACCTGAAGGGAACTCAGAAAGGCTTTAGCCCACTCCCCCTGTTTTACATATGAGGAAACTGAGGCCCAGGGAAGGGGAGTAATCTGTTCACAGTCATATAGCTAGTGGATGACAAGCGAAGACTTGAACCGTGAGATGCTCCAAGCTTGGACTGAGAGAACCTAAACAATGGTCATGTGTGTGTGTATGCACGTGTGCGTGAGTGTGTGTATGTGTGTGTGCGTGTGTGCGCGTGTCTGTGCGTGCATAGCCATGTACATCAGAAATGTGCTACATAGAGTAAACGTGGGCAGCACAGGCTCTGGAATCAGACTGCTGGGACCGAGCTCAGGTTCGCCACTTTCTAGCTCTGTGACTGCAAATATTGAGCGTGTGGGCCTCAGTTTCCTCACGGCCCAATGGAGAAGAAAGGAGAGGGTTGTACCAGGGGTTCAGGGAGCTGATGTGTGAGCAGCGCTGCGAACTGTGCCCGGCACACGGCACATGGTACACGGCACATGGCACCCGGCACACGGCACATGGCACATGGCACATGGCATGCTTCCAGTCGCTGCTGGTTTCCTTTGTGCTTTGAGGGCTGGTTTATTTGAGAGTGACCGAGTTCAAGGAGCTGTCCTCAGTGCAGTGGAGGGATAGATGACAGACTCGGTGTCACAAGGTGCATGAGAAGACAAATCTCATATCTGTGGGTTAAGCCTGCCGAGGGCAGAATTCTTGTCCATCTGCTGCACCCTCAGCCCCGCAGCGATGCCTGGCCCTCGGTAAGTGCTTCTTGAATGAACGTCTGGGAAGTGAGGGCTTCTCTGTGTGCGTCACATGCTGTAATTTCCCTGGCCTACCGGGAAGGACGAAGGAGTCTTACCCATTTCATGCACAAGGAAACTGAGAGCTGAAGGGATTCAGTCACTTGCATGAGGTCCCTCAGCCTTAGGTGGGACCCAAATGCAGGGGCCAGGGTTCAAACCCGGGTCCTCACTTGACAGTTTCTGAGAACAAACCCTCTCCGCTGAGATCAACCCCTCCGCTACTCACTCGGGAGTCTGACTCCCTCTCCCTAACAAACCAACCCGCTGCCAGGACATCAGGTGCCCAGTGCACCTCCGAGGGCTACAGTTGAATCTTGGTGCTGAGAGTCATTTACCCCACTGTCGGCCCTTTCCATAGAGGCCGAGGTAGGTCAGGCCAGCGTGCCCTGGGCCTTGCCATCCCTGGGTAAGCGTGTTTGCGTCCCACAGGCCATGCGGGTGCAGACGGAGATGGAGCTGCGCCTGTTCCAGCAGAACGAGTTCATGTACCACAAGATGCGCGAGGCCGCGCTGAACAACCAGCCCATGCAGGTCATGGCTGAGCCCAGCAGTGAGCCAGCGCCGGCGCTGTTCCACAAGAAGCAATGAGGACCTGCCGGGGGCGCCCAGGAGCAACGTTCTGGGGGCGGTGGGCTTCTGGGGAGACCCCTGACGAGGAAGTCAGAACGCTCAACCTTGTTGCTGTGGGAATGTACTGCTCTGTGTTCCCTAGCGTCATTTTGGTTTATTTCAACTCAGTTTAGTTCAATTTAACTCATCCTATAGCCCGACTCATTGTACAAATATTTATTGGGTGGTAGGCCCTAGAGATAAAGAAGCTCCAAAAGTAGTTGGGGAGGCAAAATGTAAGCAAACAATTAAAGCACTGTGTAATAATAAATACAATGCAAACTATGTGGGGGGGTACAGTAGAGGGCATGTCTGGGGTGTGTGTGTGTGTGTGTGTGTGTGTGTGTGTGTGTGTGTGTGCAGTACCACGGAGGGGTCATCTGAGCTGAGAGGCAGGTGCTTGGAGTCTCAGGTGCCTGCTCACCCATCTGTGCAGGTGTCTCTGGGGCTGCTGGTCTGGATGTTCAGGATTTGGCCGACTAGGAGGGGAGAAGTCTTTTCAGGGTGAAGCTGAGGGAGAAACTTGGAAACACACGTGCCTGGAATTGCCTCAGTTTCCTGTTCCTGCATTCACACATGTCATGTCTGCACCCACCCTTCCCTCCGCCCCTCCACCTGTGCTCTGGACTCCTTCCTCCCCTATGTCCTTGGGGCCTTGTATCACCTGTTACTCCTTCTCCACCCTGCGTCCTTGACATTGACCTGCCTTCCAGCTTCTTCAGTGCAGTCAGTAAAGATGCTGGGGGTGATCTGCAGTCATAATCTTTACAGCTGCGTATTTGTTGTTATTGTCAATTCTCACCTGAGAGTATTTTTCCATTGATTTTTAGAGAGTGGAAGGGAGGGAGGGAGGGAGGGAGAGAGAGAAACATTGATGGGAGAGAAACACTTCACTTAGTTGCCTCCTGCACACACCCTGACCAGGGCTGGGGATCAAACCTGCAACCTAGGTACGTGCCCTTGACTGAGAACCGAACCCATGACCCTTCAGTGCGCGGGCTGACGCTCCATCCACTGAGCCACACCGGCCAGGGCTGAGTATTATTTTTTAAAGGATTTGTCTCTCATAGTTACTATCCCCTTTTCTTTACTTTTCATTTCTTCCTGAAACCACTGCAGGCTGGCCTCCTGAACTCCACTGAAAGAGATTTTACCAAGGTCAGCACTTGTGGGTCCTTCTGGTCCTTACCTGACTCGGCATCTCTGCATCAGTTGCTGCTTCCAGCGCTTGATTTCTGGAACACCGCTTCCTTGTGCTGATCCTCTGTTGTGGTTTCTCGTCTCTCTCTGTCCCCGCTTCTCCGCATGCCCCGATATGTTGGCGTGTCCTGTAGTTGCTGTTGTTCATTCTGGTCACTCCTAGTTGATGTTATCTAGGCTGCGCACACTTCCTGCGTGAGCACAGCAGGCCCTTGATTTGCTCACCACCTTGAGCGATGGTCCTACATCCGTTTTCCCCAGCCTGCTCCTGAGCTCCGGCCCCACACACCCTCCTGAGTGTCCTGCAGGCACATCAAACTCAGCACATCCAGAATACAATTCTTTCTCTTTCCTTTCTCGCCTCCCAACACCGCTCCCGCCTTAGCACACCACCTGGAACACGGGTCTTTTCCTCCTGTTGCATCCTAGGCTTCGGTCAAACCCACTCACTCACGGGTCCCCGACTGACCCATGTCTCCGTGCCTCTCTTTGAGTTTTCTAGCTAAATATCCCAAACCTGCCGACCCCTGTTCATCTTTCAGCATCCAGTTTGGAAATCACCCCATCTGTGAAGCCTTCGCTGGATGCCTTCGATTCAGCGGGCTGCCTGTCTGGGTCTCTGGTGTTACCCCTGACTCCCCCATCATACCTCTCTCCTCACGGCATTCTGTAATTGCCTAGTTACTTGTCTGCCTCCTCTGTCAGAGTGTGAGCTTCTGGAGGCCAGCGGCGGTGTCCCTCTGTTCATTGCTCTATCCCCAGAACCGAGCACAGGTCCTGAAACATAGTAGGTGCTCAGTTAACGTGTGGTGAGTGAATGAATGAATGAACGAATAAGTGAATGAATTTGCTTATCTCAGAGCAGAAGAGACATGGACTGTGTATTCTGAGTTTTTATGTTACAGGCATCAACAAAGGCCATTAAATCCACTGTTTCCAAACTAATATGTGTGGCTTCTTTCTTTCTGACAATCCATTTGGAGCAGCACTGTCTGAAAGAACTTCCTGTGGTGATGGAGGTGTTGTCCAACACAGTAGCCACTAGCGGCATGTAACTACTGAGCACTTAAAATCTGTGTAGTATGATTGAAAGAGTGAGTTAAAATTTTTTTTTCTTTATTCATTTTTAGAGAGAGAGGAAGGGTCGGGGAGAGAGCGATCAAAACATCAATGAGAGAGAACATTGATTGGCTGCCTCCTGCATGCCCCGCACTGGGGATTGGGCCCACAACCTGGGCATGTGCCCTGACCAGGAATCGAACTAGCGACCTCTGGGTGCATGGGTGGATGCTCAACCACTGAGCCACACCAACCGGGCTTTTTGTTTGTTTTTTAACCCTCACTTGAGGATATTTTCCCATTGATTAATTTTTAAATAGAGTAGAAGGGAGGGAGGGAAAGAGAGAGGGAAACATCGATGTGAGAGAGACACATCGATTGGTTACCTCCTGCATGGTGGGTCTGGGGATCGAACCTGCAACCCAGGCCCTTGCCCTTGACCAGGAATCAAACCTGAGACCCTTTGGTTCACAGGCCAACGCTCTAACTACTGAGCCTAACTGGTCAGGACAGGAAGTGGAAATTTAATTTTATTTAATTCAATTGAAAAAGCCAACGTGGCTCGTGGCCACTGTATTAGACAGTGCAGCTTTAGAGATCATAGACACTGAGACAAGTTAAGTTTATTCCACAAGATGTTAGCTTGGACTGGTCATTTCACCCATGCGTCAGGCTCCCGATTCCCGCCCAGCACACAGGGTTGCTGTGAGGGTTAAGTGTTAAAGTGTGAAGCTCCCAGAGCAGTGCCTGGCCCATCATAAGTGCTCCACGGGCATTGCAGCCGTGCTGCTGCTGGGGTGGCCCTTCTCCGACCGGAAAGTGACGGTGAAGGGCACAGATGAGCTGTGTGAGCTGGACCCAGCTCTTACCAGCTTGTGGGAGCTGACTGTGCACATCTCTTCCCCACTCAGTATTCATCCACATCCCGTTGATACCTTGACAACGGCCACAGGGGGAACGTTTACAACATGGAAATCAGCTTTCAACACTTGCCTGGACCAGCATCTCTCTTTTTAAAATTTTTTAAAATTTTTATTGATTTTTAGAGAGATAGGAAGGGAGAGAGAGACAGAGAGATAAAAACATGGATGAGAAAGAACATAGCTTGGTTGCCTCGTGCATGCCCCCCACTGGGGACTTGGCCCACAACCTGGGCGTGTGTCCTGATCAGGAATCAAACCGGTGACCTCTTGGTCCATGGGTCAATGCTCAACCACTGAGCCACACCGGTTGGGCTGGTCCAGCATCTTTTAATGGTCTCCCTGTATTCAACCTTGGCCTTTCTCATTATCCTTGATACCACGGCCAGGATAACTTTTCTACAACGCCTTTAGTATCATGCTATTCTTGTAGCTGAAAACCTTTCAATGTTAGCCCATGGTCTCCAGGATCAAGTCCAAACTCCTTACCAGAGTAAAAGGATATTCATGTCAGAGACGCTGTCCTCTGCCTCATCCCTCACCAAGCCCTCGTTTATACCACACCTCCCTGCCAAAAAGCTTTCCTTGGACGCTTCATGAGTCAGCTGTGGGTGGGCAGGATCTGGAGTTTGTTCACACCAACATCATGGCACTGGTCATACTGTCGCCATGTGGATTATGGGTTGGTCTCCCTGCTAGACAGCAAGTCTCCCAGGGATCACTGTTCCCTCAAGGCTTAGTGCCGCCCAGCCCTGATTTGGCTGAGTGAGTCTAGGTTGTAAAGAACATAAGCAAATTCCATGTCTCCATGTTTTTCTGGTGAGAAACACTAGAAAATCATGGGGTGGTCACTGTGCCTCCAGTATGTGTACAAAAGTGCTCTGAAGATTAATTATGGACTCAGTTAGAAAAAATCACTTTCTTTACTCTAATGGCAATCATTTACATAAAAAACCAAACAACAGAAATGTCTACTTTTGTGTGGATATAGACACCAAAAATGGACTCTTCTCAAATCAATTGGCTTTCAGGGGAAGGAGCACCCTCTGGGGGTGGGGTGCACAGAGGCAGCCGGAGAGAAGGCAGAAGGGTCCAGAGGGAAGAGGGGTCAGGGTAAAAATAGTTGATACAACCAACAGCTGTTTATTCAATGTATGTAAAGCAGGTTTGCGACCCCCAGTTCCTTGGGCACCTGAACAAAATCTAAGTTCAGGATCTAAAATGTATTCTCCTTTTCAGGCAAAAACATACAAACAACCCCTTTCCAAATCCAGCCTTGTTCCCAGTTAGGAGAAGAAGGGGGATTTTTTCAGTTCCCCAGAGGTCTTGCTGAGAAGACCTTGTTTTCACTACTTCCCTCCCCCCGTGCCTTGAGAGTCAGAGGACCTCAGTTCCACCATTTATCAGCTGGGTGGTCCCAGGCAAACGGACTTTCCTCTCTTTGCCTCTTCACCTGCTCACTGATATTTCTCTGGGCATAACAGAGTTTCTGCTCATGGTCTGAATGTCAAACCCAACTACAGTTCCAAGAGGAATCCAAGAGACAATGCTTCACTTGGATGGCACTTGCATCGTTTCATAGGCTCCTTGTAAAAGCCAGGAGAGAAGGTGTTGTACTGCCCATTTTACAGATGAGAAAACTGAGGTCAGAAATTATAGATTGATTGAACTATGTCTTCAAGCCAATATTTTTACTTTACATTATCTGCTTTTTAAGAAATTAACTGCTCATTTAAAAAAATAGTTCCACACAGTTACTTCCTCGAGAAAGATTCAAACAATATAAATAATGCAAAAGCTCTCGACCTTCCACCCAATTCCTGTTCCCATTGTAGAATAATGGCTATTGTGCCACCATCTATGGTCACATATATATGTATAGCCATATAAATAGATAACTTTATTTCACATTTTAACAAAATTTACATAAATGACATTATACTGTTGATATTGTTTTAAAACTTGCTTTTCTGCTAGTGTGTTTGTAAAATGATATATCATCTTACACTCTTCTTCCTGATTACTGTGAGAGTAGGCATATTTCACATTGTGAATTCCTTATGAATGTCCCAACTCACCTTGCCATCGACTTGTTGGTCGTATTAATTTGGGGAGGTTTTCATATTCTGTCTATTAACCTCTGTCATGTAAGCCAGGCATCTTTTTTTCTCCCACATAGTTGCTTTTTCTGAAACTGTGTTTACAGTGTTTTTTGTTTTATATAAAATAAAAAATTTTGAAGGTGGCAAAATGAATTAATCTTTTTTTCTTCATGGTTTTTGCACTGTGTTTAAGAAGTTCTTCTATAATTCAAGTTATTTATCTACCATCATATCTATTTCTAATATTTCACATTTATTCATTTAGCTCTTCAGTTCATCTGGAATTTATTTTTGTGAACGGGATATCGTAGTATGCCACTGGTTTTTGTTTTCTTTTTTTTTATCCTCACCTGAGGAGATATATATATATATATATATATTTTGCATTTATCTTTAGTAGAGCAGGAGAAAGAAAGGAAGAAAGAGAGAGAGAGAAACATGGATGTGAGAGAGACACACCAAGTGGCCGCCACCCACACCAGCCCAACTGGGTCGGGGACAAACCACAACCTAGGCACATGCCCTTAGTGGGAACCGAACCCGGGTCTCTCTGGTCTGTGGGCAACGCTCTAACTGCTGAGTCAAGTAGGCCAGGGCGCCATTGGTTTTTGTTGTTTTTTGTTTTGTTTATTTTTTTCAATTTTTATTAATTTATTTTTGTCACAGATGTTTCTCCTTTGTCCCCTTAGACACCCTCCTCCCCAACCCACCCTCCCAACCCCTCCCCAGCCACTGGTTTTTTTACTCTCCCAACCTTGAGTTCTTATGGAAGCTCCAAAGCTCTTTCCTCAAGTCTGCCTTAGTTCCTGCAAGAATGGTTTCCCTTATTCCCAAGCCCCTGATCCACGTGGGTGGAGAACACTACCGTGCCAGGCAGGAAGAACTTCATTCCAAAAGAAGGGTGCAGATAAAATGCCAGAGAGGGGAGGGGTATTTTCAGCTGTGCAGTTTAGGAAGCTTTCTTGAAGGAGGCGGCTCTCAGATCACGAGGGGAATGGGAGGTTGCTTAGCTTGCCTGGCACGTCTGTTCTAGGACGGGGTGCGAAGCGACACGCGCGGGGCAGGCTGTGATGGGGCGAGCTGCCGGCCACGGGTCCCAATGGGCTCTACCTGCTGCTGCACAGTGTGTCAGCTAAGAATGGTTTTCACGTGTTTAAATGATTAAAAAGACAAAAGAAGACTATGTTATAACATACACAAATGATATGAAATTTCACATTTCCATGTCCCTAAGTAAAGTTCTATTAAAACACAGCTATGCCCACTGTGTGGTGTCTGTGGCTGCTTCCGCGCTTCGACCGCACAGCGGGAGTCGGGACGGAGACCGGATGGGCCACAGAGCCCAACGTCTTCACTCTCTTGCTTTTTACAGAGAGCCGACGGACCCCTGGTGCAGAGACTTGGATGCGGTTCAGGAGTTGTCTCATGTACCGGGCAGTGGACAAGGAAGCGCTGTGATGGGCTGTTTAGAGGGGAGATGACCATTAGCAGGGTGGGGGGCTGCAGGTGAGAGGGGCAGGGAGGGGCTGCAGGTTGACTGTGAAATAATGTAAGTAACAAGGTTCGTTTCAACTCTAGAAGTTGAAAAGAGGAGAGGAAACATGACAGATCCATTTACTTATTATTCATTTATTAATTCAGTCCTTCATTAAGATACTATGATTTAGCCCTGGCAGGTTTGGCTCAGCGTTGGCCTGCGGTCTGGAGAGACCTGGGTTCGGTTCCCGCTAAGGGCAGGTACCTTGGTTGCAGTTTTGGTTGGGTCGTGTGGGAGGCAGCCACTCGATGTGTCTCTTTCACATTGATGTTTCTCTCTCTCTCTCTCCCTTCCACTCTATCTGAACAAAATATCAAGAAGTGTCCTCAGGTGAGAATAAAAAAAAAAAAGATACTGTGATTTATAATAAGAAACATATATTTGGGCTTCATCCCCGGCCCGGACACGGCTCCTACAGCCCTTGGAAATTCCCCAGTCATAAGAGCACTGGGAGCATCTTTTGTTTTAATGAGGTGACTTGGGGTGGGCTCCTGGGTGGGGGCTGTCACCAGGAAGATGAAGCAGTAAAAAAAGTCAAGGTTGTCATTTTCAGCTCCACCTCCTACTTCTTCAGGGAGGGAAAAGGGGCTGGAGACGCGTTAACTGATCCTGCCTACCTGAGGCAGCCTCCATAAAATCCCTGTAGGTAGCACAGGCTTCAGAGAGCTTTCGGGTTGGCGAACACAGTCATGTACTGGGAGAACGGGGCACCCCAACTCCGCAGGGACAGAAGCTCCTGTGCTTGGGACCCTCCCAGACCTCACCCTGGGTGTCTCTTCATCTGGCTGTGCACCTGTATTTTCTATCATTTCCGTGAAGAAACTGATCATTGTGGGTGTGTCCCTGAGTTCTGTGAGCTGTTCTAACAAAAAATCGGATCCAAAGTGGAGGAGGTCATGGGAACCTCCGATCTGCAGCCCAGTCGGGCAGAAGGCAGAAGCGGTGGGTGTCCTGGGGCCCCCTACCTGTGGTTTGGCAGCTAAACCACGTGGGAGGGTGGCGGTCTCCCGGGACTGAGCCCTTACCTGTGGGATGTGACACTGACTCTGGGTATCTAGTGTCAGAATTGAGTTAAATTGTTGCCCAGCCAGCTGGTGTCCTAAAATTGCTTGGTGTGGGGGAAAATAACAAAACACCCACATTTGGTGATCAGAAGTATCAGAATAGAGTGTTTTGTGTGAAAGCAGAGGAGGAGAACTGGGTTTCCCCCAAATCGCACCCTTGTTGAGAGCTTTCTGGGCGCTGGGCACAGATCCAGGAGCTGGGAGGTATGATGAAGGCGGAAATGTCAGAGGCCGGCCGCTAGTTGGAGCTAGGGAGTGCGCTGTCTGTCTGCCGGGGCTGCCGGAACCGCATGCTGCAGACCGGGCTGCTTAAACAACAGAAATGTATCCTCCTGCGGTCTGGAGGCCAGAAATCCGAGAGCACAGTGAGGGCAGAGCTGCGCTCGCTCCGAAGGCATTAGGGAGGGATCCGTTCCGGCCCCTCTTCAGCTTCTGGTAGGTCTGTGGCTTTGACAGTCTCCTCACAGCGCACCCCCCGTGGAGGTGTCTCCGTCCACGTTTCCCCTTTAAATGAGGCCGGCCGCGTTGGATTCGGGGCCCACCCTTCTCCAGTATGACCTCATTTTAACTTAACTAGTTGCATCTGCAATGACCCTATTTTGAAACAAGGTCACATTCAGAGGTAATGAGGGTTAGGACTTCAACATGTGTATTTGGGGGAGAAGCAACTTAGCCGGTAACAACTACCAGAACCTGGTACAAGCTACTGTTCAAAGAACTTATTCTTCTCCCACATTCTGCCTCTGCTCCCCGCGTGAAGGGAATTTCCCTCTGAGCCTCCTCTGTTTACTCCTCAACCTCTCGCTAAGCCCCTCACTCAGCCCTTCCCTAGGAGGGGGAATTGCTCATCTGAGGGGTCAGTGACTGCTCTTTTTGCTCATGTCCATTGGTGGGCGAGGCTGCCGTGGCCACACTCATGGGCGTAGCTTTCCTCGGTCCGCTCAGCATCGCTGCTCCCTCTCCCCGTGGCCAGCACCCTGCATACCCTCTTGCTCCAGCTCCCAGGAAAGGCCACTCCAGGGCTGTCCTACAGATCCAGCCACACTTCATGTTCCTTGTAGGGTCACCTGCGTGGGCGGCCTGGGGCCTGTCTCAGACCTAACCCAATTAGGATGGACAGTGCGAATTACCAAAGTTTATGAAAACATAGGCGATCAGTGTTTACTGATATCAGTAACACCCCCAGAGAGAGGCCACGAAGAAGAAACATTGTTTTTAAAAACAAAGTTTATTTTATTATTTTTACACAGTAAAAGAATATGAAATGCAGACTTGTCTAAATTCTCTTGCTGAGTCTCTTGAAGACAATGTCACCCAATGTCATGGTCTGAAAATCAGAAAAGAAATCACGCGATGTGCATCTGATGTTGAATTGCAAAAGATAACTAAGCCATCCAACTAGCTCTAAATGTGCCAACACATGAAACAACCCAAGGAGTCCTCTGCTTTTTATAGGACCAGAGAAAGGGTTGGCAATCTTTTCTAAAATCCCAGGCCAAGTTTACTTCCTCATGAGGAGGGTTTTCCTGACTCATACTGAATCCTTTTCTACATTAGTGGCTGTTAGAGCAAGGCCATCAAAAGCGACTTGTCCAATCCAGTTTCTCAGTTTCATTGAGTGCCTACTATGTACCAAACACGTGTGCATAGCAAGGACACACGTACACCTAGGCACCCAGCCTGGAACACAGTCGGAGAGCATAATTTCCTCCCAGAGCTGTGATGCATATAAAAACACTGGATTTCTCGGGCTCACCAGTTTTTGAGTTATGTTCCTTCTCTCCCCGCTCCTCCCTCCCAGCGGGGAAGCACCAGCTGGGGCCGCTGCCAGGCCATGTGCAGTCTGGTGAATTAGAAAAGTGCCCCTTCCTCAAGGCACTGCTCTTTGGTCTGTTGGAAAGCTACCCCAGGGCACTGTGCTGGTTTTGTTAGAAACACTCCTTCCTGGCAGACACTGCAACGTGGTAATAAGTATGCAAACCCCAGCTGTCTGTAATGGGAGTGGCTCCCCCTGGTGTGCAGTTGTGCAACTGCGGGTGGAAGCCCTGTGACACAGACCCCATTCAGAGGGACCCCAGCTCAGCCATTTCTGGCTATTTGTTGCCTCAGTCTCCCCATTTAGAAAACTTAGGATTGCTGGGAGGATTGATGATAATGGGTGTCAACTGCCCGGTCCATCATGGATCTTTAGTAAGTGACAGCAGAGACTAACAGCGAGGGTGAGGGGCTGCTCCTCACTCTGCACCTCTCTTCTCCCCCAAGCACGGGAGCTGCAAGCTCAGAGCCCCAACTTACGTGGGTCATTGTGTCTCCATTGAGTTCAGACACGGACTTGATGCCTTTGAAACTTGTCACCAGTCTATTCTCACCTTCCAGCTGAACCACTGCCTGCAGGGGACAGAAGAGATGGCCTGTGAGGAAGGGTCTGGGCAGGGAGCAAACCCCTTGCTCATGCGCTGGCGCCCCTGCGTGGGTCTCTGCCTACAACCACCGCAGCCCTCACCCTTACGTGAGGCCAACCCCCCGGCTCTCTGGCCTGACAGAAGTGAGGTGCATTTGAGAACTAAAGGTTTTATTTATGGTATGTGATCTAGAAGTCAGCACAAGACACCGAACTGACTCAGATGTAAACACTAAAGTGAAATTGAGTAAAATCTCAATTGTCCAAGTGATCAGGGAGGTGGCAGCAAAATGAAAAACCGGCCAGTGGAGAACAGGATTTTGCTTTGGTATATGCGTATTCCTTCCAGCGTGTTTATGTTTCTTACTGGGGTTTCCTTTTCCACCTTCGTGCATCCAGGGAGAGGAACAGAAACCCGGGAAGAGGCAACAGGGAGCCGAAGACATGGGCCACGCTTAAAAATTTGCCTCCAAAACGGACATTTGGAAAAGGCCTGTGGTAAATCCCATGACCACGTGCCCCTTCCTAGGGGCCTACGGAAAGAATTTTTCTCCTAAATTTGATCACTGATGTCCTGACTTGTAATGTCATATCTGGAGAAGCAGAAATAAAGACTGATCAGAGAGGTAACCATAGGAATGTGCTGAGCCCAATGCGCCGCTCAGTGGTGCGGCTGTGCTGGGGTGTGTGGCGTTTCTAAGGGAGAAAGAGAGGCGCCCGGTGGCGGGCACCCAGTGCCTGGCTCTCCCTGCCAGCGCCTGCTGGCACCCTTACAGCCACACCCCGCGCTCCCCGCACGCCTGAGCCACAGCCCAGGGGCAGTGGCGTTGTCCCGCCTTCAGTCTGGGAAGAGTGACAGCCTGTTTTACAGCTGAGGTAGCGGAGGCCAGGGGCTCAATGATCACCCCTGAAGGCTGGGTCTGAGTGTGAGCCTGAGGACCTGGCGTTGCCAGCACCTCCTCCAGGAAGCTTCTCCCCATGACCACCAGCTCCAGGCCTAGCAAAGCCCAGTTTAATTTGGACTAAGGGTGACCCAGGGGTCTTTTAAGGCATTTTCACTGACCCTCCCCACACACACACACACTTGCCCACTGTAGTGCCTGGGAGAACCCGAGACTTGGACTCCTGCTGTATGCCTGGTGCCCCCATATCCTCCATATTGGGAGAGCTCCAATTCTTGGGCCAGGGCACCCCGAGACAGTCCTTGGGGAAGTTTTCCCTAAGAGACTCTCCCCCCACAGCCGTCTTTGTCTTTCTGCTTCTCACCCCAGAAGCAAGTTCAGAGGTAGTGTCTCCATGGAGGGAGTTGTGAGGGGGGACCCCTGAGGGAGGAAGCCCAGAACCAGGCTCCAGGAAAAGTTCCGCAAGCAGAGGGTGGCTGGGGGGGCAGCTCCTACCTTGACCTTCTCCCCGGTCATGAGCTCCAGCTCACACTCCTCCCCCAAGGTGAACTCGTTCTGGATCACTTTGGACCCGGTGGTGATGGTGAGCTTGAAGTGCTTCCCAGTCTGCACGATTTCAGTCACTCCCTTGATGTCCTTCCCCTTCTGGATGAGGTCGTCAGGCAGACCTGGTGGGAAGCATTCGCGGTGAGAGGGGCAGAGTGTGGTATGGGGAGGGAGAGGGTGGTGCCGTGGCTCCCTGGAGGCCACCGGCATGGGCCAGAGTCCTGGAGCAACACGGGCTTTGAGCTTTGAAAGGCAAGGTCAGTGGCCCGGCCTGACCTGCCCTGGCTGGCCGGCTATCTTGCCAGTGAGTTTATAAGGAGGACACTCCTCTGGCCTGAAGAACTTCTTCCCTAGTGAGCACCCTGGTTCTTGCTCGCTCTCCTTGCTCACGCCTCCTCCTTTGACGCCCAGAGAATTTGTTATTTGAGTATAAGCATTTCATCCTCCACGCCCAGGTTGGCCAGTACAGTTTATCTTCAAGGCCAGGTCACTCCTGAGAGTGAGGCGTGGGGTTGGGGGTGCTGACAATAATTATGCCGGGGCAACATGCACACGCTGGGACTGTCCTGGAAAACGTGTCTCCCGAGCCCTACCCCGGTCTCTGCTGGCGAGGCTCCCAAAGAAGCAGTATCAGGGGTCCCTTGTCCTGGGACAGAGCTTTGCAAATTTCAGAGCACGTCTGTGGTGCTGTATGAATTGAGGTTTACAAACCCACGTGTTGATAGTGGGCAGGGAGGGTCCTAGGGCACAGGTGAGGGATGGGAGACACAGAGAGGCGGCACGACCTGCCCTACAGGAGATCCAAGCTCTCTGCTGCCCTGAAGGTCCTCCTCTCTCTGTCTTTCCCACGCTCCTCCCGCTTGGCACCCTTCCTTGCCACCTCGCCCCTTTGCTCACGAGATTCCTCTGCCTGAAGCACAGTCCCCTTTCCCAGTCCCCTAGTGGACACCTGCTCATCGTCCAAGGTTTAGCCAAGGCTCACCTTCGCCACCGAGTCTCCCGTCCATGCCCTCCTGTGAGGACCACACCCTCCTGCACAATCCCCTGGAGAAGACGGGGTGACAGCGGGGTCTCTGGGAACCAGTGCTTGCTTTGATTCCCGGAGGACACACTTCCTACCTGAGTGACCTAGGTTGGGATTACTTAACCTTTCAAAGCCTCAGTTGCTTTGACTGTAAAATGGGAAAAACAATAGTACCCAACTTAGCGTTCTGATTGAGGATTCGGTGGGATATTGCATGTCAAGGGCTCAGCCCAGTGCCTGGCACTGTCGACACTCAGTACACGTTAGGAGAGTATTTGCTTCTTTTCTTTTTCCTCTCTAAATTGTGACTTTGGAAATGTGGCTCATCGTTATCTGCTTCCCTTGTATCTTTCCAGCACAGTGCTTGAATATGGTTGGGCTTGAATCAATATTTGTTAGAATAATGAATGGATGAATGGATGAATGAATGAGTGGATGAGGCCACACAATGAGTTACCAGCAGAGGTGGCGTCTATCTAAATCAGACTCTAGTTCAGTGCTCTCTCCAGTTGCCTGTGGTGTGGACTTGTCCAGTGAGTGCCAGCGCGAGCTGCCAGTCATTGCAAAAGTAACAAGCATAACACTGTGTGCGTGAAGCCTGGACCTCTCCTCCCATCCCATTATCCCCTACGTTTGTGACTGGCCACCACCTGCCGGGCCAGACCCTTATTGCCATGACCACCTGCCTTGGTGTCCAGCTCAGTACTCACCAATTGCCTTCATGAAGGACTCAAAGTTTTCCTGGCTCTGCACCTGGTACTTGCCGGAGAAGTTCATGGTGGCAACGAGGCTCCTTGCACAGCTCTGCTGATGGAGCTGTCCAGGGTGCGCTGTTTATAGGAGGGTATTTCCCCTTTGAATCTTGGCCATAGGTCAGCATCTGTCACCTCCTTTATGGCCAGGTTCAAATATTAACTTGAGAGCAATGGTCAATGATAAAAAAAAACCAGGACGGGCAAGGCAGAGATTTGCTCTAATTCAGCAAACATTAAAGGGCGTCAATCAAGTACAAAGCCCTATAGACCTGTGGCCTTTGAGGTGCGACTCTCCCATGAAATTTGTGTGTATGTATACATATCTGTACACATATGTTTGTGTGTGCATATATACATGTGTGTGTGTATCTAGATCTAGACAAACAGAAATACTAAAGAATCCCTTTAACCTCAAAAACCTCACCTTATTTACATAACCTTATGATCTCTTCCCATCGTTATCATTGCACAGACTTAATTTTTACAAAGCTGCCTTCGGCCCCTAAAGCTCTTTGATATTCTGGGAGTTCTTCCCTATGACGACAGGCTACTCCACTGTCCAAATCAGTCTCCTTTTTGAAGTGTTACCATGGTACATACTAAAGGGAAGGTGGAAACCTTTACACCAGCTGTATGGAAACTGAGAGATGCCTTTTATTAGGCAGATGCAGGTAGTGGAAGGAAAGAACGTAGCACCTGCTGGGCCACCTGAACACGTCGGGGTACCCACGCCTCCATGTTTGCTCTCACTCTGCTCCCTGTGCCCGCCTTTCCTTCTGCACCTGGTCACTGCCTCTGCGAATTCTCCGGGCCCCGGAGCACTTGGCAAATCCCGTATTCTAATTCCAACTGGGATTATTCCTCTATGCATTCTTTCTTTTTAATTAATTAATTAATTAATTAATTTTTGTTATAGATGTTTCTCCCCCCGCCTAGACACCCTCCTCCCTATCCCCCAGCCCCCATCCCCAGCCAAGCATTGTTGTCTGTGTCCATGGTTACGCATAAGAGCATATAAGTTCTTTGGTTTATCTCATCTCTCTCCCCTGCCCCCACCTCTGAAGCTTGTCCGTGTGAACCTTCTCGTTTCTGTGTCTCTGGGTCTATTTTGTTCATCAGCTTTTTTTGTTCATTATATTCCACAAATAAGTGAGATCATGTGCTATTTGTCTTTCTCTGATTGGTTTATTTCGCTTAGCGTAATACTCTCTAGTTCCCTCCAGGTTGTCTCAAAGAATAAGAGACCTTTCTTTCTTATAGCTGCATAGTGTTCCATCCTCTATGTATTCTTTTTCACTGTACTTCTTCCTTGGTATTCCCAATACCTGGCACTTGGTAGGTGTACAATTAATGATGGGTCAGTAAATAAAAGCGTCAAAATATAATGAGACCATGGCTCTTCCCATCAAAGGAAAACAAGAGATTTAAAGTGATACGGTGTAGTCAGGTTGGCACATGCTCTCAAATCACAGAATCACTGGGGCTGGGTAGCCAGGAGACTAAGGTGCATGTGTTTGTGCGTATCTAATGAAGCCGTGTCTTGGCTGAGAGTCTGAGTGAGAGGATGTTACAAGGGCTGGCAACGCCTGACCCAGGCTGAGAGCCACCTCCTCTCTTCCCGTGCCAGCCATTCTTTCTTCTCTGCCATCCTGCTCTGCCATTCCAGCCCATGCCTGAGTAGACGGCAGAATCCAAGCGGAGCTCTGTTTCCTGGACAGTTCCTCCCCTGCCAGCGGATCCTGTCTGTTCCTACCTGCAGCGCAATCAGCATGATGACTACATGCTCACATGCTCATCTGCCAAATGGGCAGTCCCTGCTCTGCACCTGAAACTCTCTGGCTGCTGGCGCATCTGCCCTGGAAGCCTGGCAGCTCTAAGTCTCTGGTTCTGCATGAGGCAGGAACACACTAGTGGATGAAGGCTAATGCCAGTGGACATCGGTGTCACAGGAAGGCAAGAGTAAGGAGTATGGCATTAGCACAGTGTATCAGCCCACAGGGAGGGTGTGCTCCCTTGTGTCAGCCCACAGGGAGGGTGTGCTCTTGTGTCAGCCCACAGTGAAGGTGTGCTCCCTTGTGTCAGCCTACGGGGAGGGTGTGCTCTTGTGTCAGCACACAGGGAGGGTGTGCTCCCTTGTGTCAGCCCACAGTGAAGGTGTGCTCCCTTGTGTCAGCCTACGGGGAGGGTGTGCTCCCTTGTGTCAGCCCACAGGGAGGGTGTGCTCCCTTGTGTCAGCCCACAGGGAGGGTGTGCTCTTGTGTCAGCACACAGGGAGGGTGTGCTCCCTTGTGTCAGCCCACAGGGAAGGTGTGCTCTTGTGTCAGCCCACAGGGAGGGTGTGCTCTTGTGTCAGCCCACAGGGAGGGTGTGCTCTTGTGTCAGCCCACAGGGTGGTGAGCTCTTATGTCAGCCCACAGGGAGGGTGTGCTCTTGTGTCAGCCCACAGGGAGGGTGTGCTCTTGTGTCAGCACACAGGGAGGGTGTGCTCCCTTGTGTCAGCCCACAGGGAAGGTGTGCTCTTGTGTCAGCCCACAGGGAGGGTGTGCTCTTGTGTCAGCACACAGGGAGGGTGTGCTCTTGTGTCAGCCCACAGGGAGGGTGTGCTCTTGTGTCAGCCCACAGGGAGGGTGTGCTCTTGTGTCAGCCCACAGGGAGGGTGTGCTCTTGTGTCAGCCCACAGGGAGGGTGTGCTCTTGTGTCAGCACACAGGGTGGTGTGGTCTTGTGTCAGCCCACAGGGTGGTGTGCTCTTGTGTCAGCCCACAGGGTGGTGTGCTCTTGTGTCAGCACACAGGGAGGGTGTTTTATTATCTCCACCCCCAAACACATACTCCCCCGCACGGATCCAGCACCTTAGATGCCCCTCATCCACTCAGGTGCTCAATGCCAGAGCCCTGCTCCAGCATCCCTGACAGGTGGCGTTAGCATACACCCTGCCATGAGGAGATCACTACCTCCTGAGCAGGGCGGGCAGAGGGCACTGGTGGCATGTGCGGCCGTGCGGATCTGGCACAGCGAACCCTTCCTTCTATCCGCAGTGGTGCTGCACCCAGGCCGGAGTGAGGAAAGTGTCAAAGGATGACCAGCACGGCCACGGTCTCCTCCACTTTATTCTGAACCTTGATTATATGCCTTTTTATGTGTCTCATCATATTGAGAGTGGCCGTATTAGACCCTAGTCTCTTCCGGGTGGGACAATGATTTGTTACTTTCGTATTTGTAAGGAAATGAACAATCTATTATTTTAAGAACTGGCATCAGAATTCCTTTCAGAGAAAAAAACGTGCGTTAAGCTGCAGGGGAGAGAGGGAGAATGAGACCAGGATATACGTTCCGGAGGCTGAGCTGGCGAGGACCAGGGCTGCCGTGCAGGAGGCTGGGAGAGGCCTGGGTGCCTTCTTTCTCACCCCCGGTGCCAGGAGCAGCGAGAAGTGCAGAGGCAGTAGGAGACAGGCCAGGGATGGGTGTGGGGTGATGGGTTACTCAGACACCCCCAGTGGCAGTGAGGCTGGAAAGGTTGAATTTGAAGCTGCTCATTTGCCGCACAGTGAATCCCCATTCATCTTTCTTTGATCCCCTCCCCAGCAACTTCAGATATTTCAGTAAAGTGCGAGTCCTGAGAAGAAAGATTCTTTGGATGTGAACCCCGAGATGAAATTTGTCTGCTGAGATGGGCTCCCCACAGTCAACCGTATACCCACCTCAGACTGAGCTCTCCTCGCCCTACTCAGCCCTGTCAATCAGAACTGCTCCATACCCACCAGCCAAGATGCGTGATGCCCAACAGTCAGGACTGTGTGATTTCGACCAATCAGAAGTGTACAAATTTGGGTCGCTCATTTACCTAAACTGAGAACCTGGGTGAGAACTTGCGTTATAAAAGGCAACTTCCTCTTTGTCTTGGTGGAACACAATTTAGGTTGCTACTTGAGCCTGTGTTTCCTGGGCTGCTGCTTCTTTCTGCTGAAATAAATGCTTTTTATTCTTTATGACAGTCTAAAATTCATTTTGGTTTACGACTGGCATACAAATTCCACATCCAGACCCCTTGACCACAGATGTCTGATGACATGCCCCACAGTGCTGCTCTCGGGCCCGACGGCGAGAGTGGGAAGAAGGATCATGAACGTTACTCCTTAGGGCAAGTCAGCACCCATCGCAGAGGCCTCTGGGAAGCCTGGATCGACCGGGTACTCCTTTTCCGGTGTCCGGGGAAAAGCAGGGCCTGCGAACTCACTCCCTGAGAGCCCTGCTGCCGTCCAGGCAATGCCTGGGCATGATTTACTCCGGCTGGTCGGGGGGCTGGCACGGCTGGTGAAGACTGACAGCTCCCACAGCAAATGCACAGCCGGGCAGATGGAGAGGCAGGTAGACCAAGCCCACAGTCCCAAAGCAAGGATCCTCTGCCCAGACCCTCGACAGGCAGTTCTTCGGCGACTCCCACTAGCCTCCTTTTGATCAGATTTCTCGTGTATGAGTTTTGAGGCCAAGCACTAGTGGCTATTTTACAATGTATCCCTCGTGAATAGTTTTCCATAACATTAGGAAAGGGTAATGACATTTCCCACCCACAAGCTCAGCAAACACAAGAAGAGATAAGCGTAATTGGAATGAATGACAAAGTTCAAGAAAGAAAAAAAAAAAGACTCCCACTTCATAGGAACAGCTTCTGATTTCAGTCAACCAGAGACTCCAGCGCCCCTCCGTCCCCACGAGCAGCCTGGCGGCGGGAGAGGAGGTGACGTGACTGACATTCACTTCAAGTGAGGCACCTTTGCACTCGTGTCTGACCCCGGGTGTCTGCAGAGCCAGCTGGCCCATTTCCTGGGGTCCCAGAGGCGCCCTTGGAGTCCATAGGCTAGAGGCAGGGTTGCCAATGGGAAGTTCTGGGTTTGGGCTCAGCTCGCCTCTCTCCCTGGCACGTGACCCAGGACAGGATTCAGCCTTTCTGGGCCTCCACTTCCTCATCTCGGCCTGTGAGCGCGCTGAGTAAACCTGAGTCCCTCAGGAACGTGAGTTCAGAGCACTTTGGTTCT